ATCGACCTACGTTTATAAAGACCTATCTTTCCACATCAAATTCTTCTCCATCAGCAGTCAATGTGCTTCCAAAGCACAAGTCTTCTAAAGCAGCATTCATAATAGCTCTCTTTTCATGACCACTCACAACCTCAATCAATTTCTATGTCCATGCTTTTCGAACATGATATATGCAAAGAAATACATGGATATGAGGAAAAACAATGTCTAGGGCAAGTCTCTCATTGTCAGCACAATCCGTCATGAAGCACGAGGGCATCCATCCAAGGATATAGTGTTGGGTCATCTTCTTCACTACAGATAATAAATCCACCAGATCTTCTGTTTGTCTCTTTTGAGGAATCCAAAAACAGTAGGATGTTTGTGTTCATATTCGTCAAACACCATCAGGGTGTACAGTGGATACTGCATTGCAAAAAATGAAATAAACGTATCAGTTTGCTGCTAGCAGTCGTCTACAAAGTATTCATCTTCGTTGATACTAAGCTAAACCTGATACAAATGAATGATTCGCTATTTTTTTGTCTTGATAAGCTAGACGTGATCAAGGTATATAATACAACATATATAACACACATTGGGAAGTTCAATAATGTCTTACAGGACTGGTTAAAGCTCCAAACCGTTATTTTTTCAAGTATCTTGCAGATATTGCAAATAGTAAGGTAGAATATACATAATCATGGAAGCCTGATGATAAAAACATCAAAATGGACAAGTAGAATATTACCTTATAATTCTGCGTGCCATGCGTTCCATCTATAGCAACACAACCTCCATTTCCATGTTTTAGCAACCAATCTAGGAGCAAGGGTCTTGTAACAGCAAGCCTCAATGGTTTAAATAAATCACTTTTTGGTGCCTGATACAAAACAACTTGAGATGAATTCGCTTTCATCCATAATTTTGTGCTAATTCTATCATTAGCATGCCTTCTCCAAGTTTTTTTGTCTAGTTCTAATTTGATATTATACACATCAGCAGATGTGATATAATGATCTCTAATAGGGGTACCTTGCACATAGCCTAAGCTCTGATGATTTTCAAACAGTGCTTTTGCAGCACACATGAGAATTTGTGGAGGAGTTAAGTTCTTCTTAACTCGCATTCAACCCACTCCCTGACGAAAGAACATAGAAAATATTAGACAACGTGTTTGCTTAGTGTCAAAGTTTTACAAACTGTAATAACAACAAACTTATTGTACATGTTACAAATATGACGGGAGATTGACTGTGAACGATAAACAAATACATTGAAAATGTCACAGATATGTCGTTACCTGCATTCGGAGGATAAATTGTGCGTCATTTGATATGGCAAGCCAACACTATCCGAACACGTTGTGCCATGACAAGCTACACCTGCAGCATTTCCGTGTCTTCTATGCTTGTATATCAACTTCGTGATTCCCGGTGGAATGTGATCATTAGACAGCAGTTTAATGGCACTAAACCTGCACTGACAGCCCTTGTGATGAGAATCATGATCTAGTCTATCCCTACTGCCAGAACCAAATTTTGCCTTTGTTGATGGATCTTGAATAAAATTCGAGGAAATCATACTCTACTTGTACCTTTCTGGAGTACCATACTTGCAATAATACATTGCATGCGATTCCCAATTGTGCCTAGTACCTCCATCCTTGTATGAGCAACGTGTCACAAATTCTGTCTTCGCATCACTATAAGAAGATCCCTCTCCCGAAACAAAATCGTTAAGCCTCCAACTTTTGATGTAGGCCGTCCCATTTGACCAATTCAACATTAACGAATTGAAAGTGCCATCATAAGATGGGTCCTGCACAATCCATCATGCCTTCATGCTGTCACCACACCTGCAAAAAGCACATGAAATGACAAGAAAAGTACAAGCACGAGCTCTGGCACGAGCTCCTCAAAGCACTGACACTGTCACCCAAAAGCGACGTCAAAACGACGAGCTGGAGAATATCGATGTGATTCTATTTTCAAAAACCCTAATCTTTGCCGCTTAAAATTTTGTCGCCTCAATTTGTTATCACCGTTTGATTACAAATATTACAGTTTGAACATTAGGGATTCCATCTGAGCTATCCCTCTTGCGGTTCAGTTTTAGTTTTTTGTTCCCGCAACGTTCCACGACACGACCGCGATCATTGTTACGGCTAAGATCATTGCAACGCACTAGATATAACGTTGCGGCCTCTACAGTGACGGCCTCTCTTCTACATGGTTGTTGGAATTTCATCCGGTTGAGGGCCTCTACATGGTTGCCGGAATGTAGGGTCCGCCGACCCTCCCCGCAAAGTGCCCCGCCTCCCCGTTCCCAAAACTGAGATAAAATCCGGCTGACCCGGAGAGCCCGAGGGGCGGATGAAGAAAGAAAGAAGAGAAAGAAACTAGGATTCCTGACACCTGGAAGTACGGCCGTTTGTAAAAGTTTGTGCAACTAAGAGAGTCGCTTAATATGAAGGGGAAAAAAAAAAAGGAATCAAAGAAGGTGTCGCAGTAAATCCGAGGTAAAGAAAGTTACGACCCCGGTGAAGCCGAAGGGCTGCCATCATTCTGATATGAACGTACGTATTCTGGTAGCCGAAGGCAAACATTCTGAGCACAAACTTTTCTCGTGGGAGCACAAATATCGAAGACATTCATTCCATCAGACACTGCATCTCAAGAAAAGGTAACGGGCCTTGCGAAGAAGAGCTTCGTCATCTTTCAGAATGCTTTGTACAAGAACTTGAAGCACGATGAGAATCAATGATGAGGATGTGAAGAGGAGAAACCCGTACAGAATCACCGTCTACAGACCACAGCGTGCCTGGCATCTGATGGAGGGAAGTTTGAACTTACTGCATACCTGCCGTGTGAACGTTCATGCCTTCCGCGGAGAGGAACAAATCACGAGTAGAGGTTGCAAGCTCATTTCTTGTTTGACAGGCTCATATTTGAATTTGAAGCATTTGAAGCATATTTGAATCCTGATTGAGAGAAAGAGATACCACTTTTTCTTGTCTATGTTGAAGAAGAGAAGATGATGATAAGAGACGATGGATCTCACCAGTTATTTCAACAAGTGTTCTAGTAGAGTGAAACGATTGTTGATTTGTAGGATTCCAAATGATTGAGATTATACTCCATGCGTAGATGAGGTCGTGAAAATTGGAACAGAAGGGAAGTGTGTATGTATACATTGAGAAATATTAGTATCTTGAAATGTGCATATGAGTTGAGCGGTGTACCTTGCATTTTGAAGAAATGGTTGAAAAAAAATAATGTTGAAATGTTCGTTGAAATGTTCAGCATGAGACCGTTTAGGCAAATTTAAGCAGTTTGACCGATTGGCCAACGTCTATCAGGAGGAAATGTAGGTATATAGTTTACCATTTAGTATTATGTACGAGTATTTATGAAGTTCGGCAATGTAAGGAGGGAGACATTTATCTTACGAGATGATTCAGTGCTGAAGGAGAAGAAGATCTTTGCAACCTGAACATTTAATGAGTTTTGACTCATTGAGAGGCGAATTTAGAAGATGTAATTGTTTGGAACGAGTACAAGATATGAAACAGTGCTACAATTACGGAAGACTACATTTTGCAGCATATATGAATAGTATGTCAGCGTATAGATCCCCTAAACTTATATTTTTACGTGGTATGTCCTTATTTTCATTATTTCACTTAAGACGTCAGTCTTATTCTATATTTCTGTATTGGATGTGTGTATCAAGACTGAGTACGGGTAAATCATTTGAGGAAAAGTAATCCAGAAACGGAAAATTATTGAATTGGGTAAAACAGAAGCTACCTTTTCGAATTTTGTCTGACGCCCAATTCTCGGAAGTTGCTCACTACAGACAGAAGACTATACAATTATTTCTGGACATTACCAAATAGAAGGAGGAATCTACCACTTCTAGATAGCCACCTTCTTATAAAAAGAATCTGTAAACGGAATGCATGACTTTGCTGGATGATGCCAAATGGTACAAGAAATATTCCCAATTATACTTATAATATATTGCAACCCCTGTCTATAGATTTAAACGATTAATGGAAACAAAAAAAGTTAAAAAATTGAGAAGAGATATCAAAACTGATTTCTATTCAAATATCCATAGCCAAAAACACACACACAATAACATGATAGTTTCATACAGAAAGGGATTCTATCATTCATATACACCAATGAGATATGTGGACACATGTGTCAATATTTACCGAGAATCACTGCCAAACAGTAAAATCTCAACTATCCACTAGACAAGAGTACACGCCAAGTGTAACGTGGTTTATCATAGAGCGATACATCAATACATACGTGCGTATGTATTGATGATGAGAAGTAGAAAATACAATGAAGCTCCGGGGTTAAGTAACCCAAGTCAGGGGGTGGGTAGCTAAACTTAGTTAGCCCAGGTTAACCGAAACACGAGCTAACCTGAACAACATGTTGCAACTAATGTAATATTACATAAGTATCAAGATGCAAATTGTTATAGCATCAATTTCATCTTCCAACGGTGAATGTTGCAATATAATTAAGTATATATGAACTCAATTTCCTACTGAATTAAAAAAAATTTCTTAATTTCTCCACGGGATACAATATTCCCTTGAAGTGGTTGTTCAATGATATTTTGTATCTCACAAATTCAAAAAACACCAAAAAATCTACTGAATCCATGTGTTGAACTGGATATCGATTATTACATTCAGAAGTAAAATTTCAACAGGAACTTGGCTTTCGGGGCAGAATTCCATTCCTGTCAGATATTTCACGAAATATGGAAACACCCTAAAAAACATGAATATTCTAAAAGGAGCCAGCTAGTTGTACTGTATTGGAAATACTTTATCCTCGACAACAAGCCTTTATCCGAGCAAAGATTTAGCAAGTGGATGACCATTGGTCTGGCAGCCTCCGGCGACCGGTCCGTCCTGCCGGGCCCCGGCCGAAAGAGTTTGCCATGCTTTGTCGGTAGCAGGGCGCTGGCGGTGACAGTGACAGTGGCGTGAAAGGGAAGAGAAGGGGAGGGGAGGGAAGGGAGGTTGGAAGCAGAGCCTGCGCCTGAGTCGCGAAATTCGGACGAACAGCACAAAATTGGCGAGGGGGATTTCGTGGCGTGGCGCGCAGGCTCACTCACGGTGCAGACCACGTCGATGGCTGCGGATTCAAGCAAGTGGCATCACGATCGTCGTGAAGGAAGAAGCATGGTTGTACGCTGGGCTGTTGGCCAGAGCTAGAGTCGTGTTCCGAGACAAGACCAGGAGCAGCCAGCCCGATTTCAGACTGCCTTGATTTGCGGCCCCGGGTCAGAGTCATTAGCTCGGATTGTGTCGCTGCCGGGCTTGGGTGTCCGATTATTGGCGTCGGCTAGGGTACGTACTGCGGTCGATTCGCGATGTGACCAAACTTAGGATGCTGGTCGCTGCGTCCACGTCGAGCTCGCTCCTTTTTGGGGTGCAATTGTTCCTCGTATGATCCGATCTTATCTGAATTTTATCTGAATCGATCTGCTTGTCTCCTATTCAGAACTCTGTGGAGTTTGGTGTGCGGGAGTGGCCGCCAAGTGTGCGAGACGAAATTGAAGCTGTCGCTTGCCTCAAGCTTTCACACCTGGAGAGGAGGACCGTGGCAAATTGCGAACGTTTGATCATGTGAAGTGTTTGTGTCGAGGGGCGCCGTTGATCTAGTCGGTTTCTCACTTTGCGTGTGGAATTATCTCAACTCGTTGGAGGCCCGAAGAAGCCGGGATCGCCCCTGAGGCTTCAAAGTTTGCAGTTTGCCAACGTTGGTCGAGCTGAATTTGTTGAATCGTTTTTTGAATTTGTAATCGCTGTCACTGGCTGCCGCGGCACTTTGTTACACCACACGAGAAATGGGGCCATCGAGGGCTGAAGACGAAGCAATTCTCAGACGACTGCGGATTTTTCTTTCTCATGTGGGGGGCTGCAATTCGGACTTGACGAATGAAGGCCAATTATTTCGAGAAGCTACCAGCGGCAGAGATTCCCAGCCAGGTTCATTAAGTATCGATGTCTTGACAGAAATCATGACTGGTTCCGGCAGAGCTGATAGGTTGGTCCTTTCTGCGCCTTCACTGCTCGACATTCTTCTGTATTTCGAGTTAAATGTTTCACTTGCGGAAGAGCGATCGCTCCAAATCGAGAGCAGATATGTTGCCCTGGTGATCCAGTTGCGACATCAGTTTTTTTCTTCTACTTGATATCTGAGTATGGGTTGTGCTTGTGATTTTTGTGGAGTGAGCAGGGAAAAAATCTTCAGGTTTTTTGAGGGGCGACCTGATTTGCAAACACCGGTAGAAATTGGGAAGGATGCGCATCGAGAATTGACCTATAAACAATTGATCGCACTGGTGAGGGAGTGTGGCGTTCACCCTATGCAGCTACTTGTGAACGATCCAGCGAGATATTTCACGGTCATGGAGGCAGTTGGATTCATCGATATTTCTCTTGGAATCAAGATGGGAGTTCAATTCAGGTACTTTGTGCCAAAAGCGTTACTCTTCGCCACTGTAGATACTCTCGTCTCAGGAGAAATTCAGCAGTTGTAAATACCGAAGACGAATACAGAAATACACAAATACAGAAACTGATATTTGTGTCTGTCACTTTCAGTTTGTGGGGAGGATCTGTCGTGAATTTGGGCACCGAGAAACACAAAGAGATATTTTTTGATGGTATTGACAACGTGGACTATCCGGGATGTTTTGCCATGACCGAACTTCACCACGGCAAGTATATTGTACATGCTGCATAGTTTCATCGCTGTTTTGAACCCAAGGTCTGTGCCAAGCTTTCTTTCGGCCATTTAATTTTAGCTATTAACGGGCGCCTCATTTCTCACCGGACAGGTTCTAACGTGCAAGGGATTGAAACCACTGCAACCTTTGACAAGGAATCAGACGAATTTGTGGTACTCACGCCTAACGAGGGTGCAACAAAATGGTGGATTGGCAATGCCGCCGTACATGGAAAGTTTGCCACAGTTTTTGCCAAGCTTATAATACCGTCGCCTTCTGGGGACTCTGATATGGGAGTTCATGCCTTCATTGTTCCTATTCGGAGCATGGCTGATCATTCAGTGCTTCCAGGCGTTGAGATTCGGGACTGTGGATATAAGGTGGGGCTAAACGGAGTTGACAATGGGGCCCTGCGTTTCCATTCAGTACGCATACCCAGAGACAACTTGTTGAATAGATTTGGAGACCTGTCTAGGGATGGCAAGTACACGAGCACACTCCCAACTATCAATAAGCGCTTTGCAGCCACTTTGGGTGAACTTGTTGGTGGGCGTGTTGGGCTTGCATATGGATCTGTTGGTATCTTGAAAGCTTCTGTCACTATCGCCACTAGATATTCTCTTCTGCGACGACAGTTTGGACCTCCTGATCAACCAGAAATCAGCATTCTTGATTACCAATCACAGCAACAGAAGTTGATGCCAATGTTGGCGTCTGCTTACGCCTTTCATTTTGCAACAGCGTATTTAATGGATCGTTATTCGGAAATGAAGAAGACCCATGAAGATGCTGTTGTCGCAGATGTTCACGCTCTGTCTGCAGGTCTTAAAGCTTACATAACCTCTTATACAGCGAAGGCATTGAGCACATGCAGAGAGTCTTGCGGTGGACATGGTTATGCAGCTGTAAATAGATTTGGAAGTCTTAGAAATGATCATGATATATTTCAAACGTTCGAGGGAGATAACACTGTCTTATTGCAGCAGGTATTCTTATTCCTTGCTATTCTTATCATCTGATTTCCCAGAATTTTGTGAAGTTGTTTCAAAAAATTATTAATTTTCTCGGTTTGGATGGCATATCATTTGCCTTTCTGAGCCAGGTCGCAGGTCTATGATCTTAGGGTATGACAGACACGTACCTATGAGTCCAGTTGGTTTTTTTTTCAGCATCTTTCTTTCGTCTGTTTTTTCTGTATATTTTGACTGCAATTAAGCTTGATCTCGCTTGACCGTCTGTTCCTTGCTCGTTTTACTAAAGTATTCTTCGCTTTGATGGGTCATTAAAATCACGACAAGGTTAAGGCCTTGTGAAGGACCTTATGGTAGCAAGTGTTGTCGATCTTTAAGTGATTTCTTCTTGAAGATTCCTTAGCAATGTTTAGTCCAACTTGTATGCAGATTATTTTAGTCAAATGTTTCTTGTTGCTTGATACTGACACCAGCGTCACTTTATCTTAATTGAGGAATGGATTATGTTTACAAATACTTGACTGCAGGTCGCAGCTGACCTTTTGAAGCAGTACAGAGCAAAGTTCAAAGGCGCTCCTTTGGCGGTAACCTGGAATTATCTCAGGGAATCGATGGGCACGTATTTGTCACAGACCAATCCTGTCGTCACGCATCGTGATGAAAAAATGCATTTGCGCGATCCCCGCTTTCAGTTGGACGCTTTTCAGGTTCATACCTAAGATCTTTAATAGTGTTAGATATCTTTTTAACAAGATAAAGGGTTTTGTTGTGGCAAAGTCGCTGGTTCGTGCATGGTTGTATGAGCTCGGAATTCTAAATATAATCTATTGGTGATCCTTGCAGTTTCGGACTGCGAGACTGTTGCATACAGTTGCTTTGAGACTTAGAAAGCATTCGAAGCGTTTAGGTGCATTTGGTGCCTGGAATCGCTGCCTCAATCACCTCCTTACGTTAGCAGAGTCTCACATTGAGTCTGTTATATTGGCCAAGTTCAACGAAGCAGTAAAGCGGTAAGAGAGATTTTTCTTTGATTTCTAAAGTTTTGGCGCCTGGAAGGGTTATGCAAGCAGAAGGTTTATAGCTTATAGAATTCTGGTGATTTTTTTTTTTTGGGGTGATGGCTGGCATGGCGTTGGAAATTTTAGCACGTTAGGAAATATTTGGAAATTTTGAACCACTTTGTGTCATGAGTTAAATTCGAACTCTTGGAACTTTGTAGATGTCAAGATCCAGACGCGCGAAAGCTGCTGAAGCTTTTGAGAGACCTATATGCTCTGGATCGTATATGGCATGACGTCGGCACCTTCAGGAACCAGGACTATGTAGCTCCCAATAAGGCAAAGGTATAATACTTATCCGAAGAAGTAGAATTGATTATGTGGAACATTGGCAACAATGGTATTCTCGACTTCTATGATCATTATTTTTCCGACTTGCAAATTTTGCAAATAGCGCGCATTTGTATAAAGTCTGATGTGAACGTACATGGGGTTGTTGATAGGCAATCCACAAGCAGATGGAAATATTGTGCGCCGAAGTCAGGCAAGTTGCTGGACCACTGGTTGATGCATTCGGCATTCCGGATTCTCTTCTGCGAGCACCAATTGGACTACAGAGCGGGCAATACTCTGAATACACGCATTATGTTGGTTTTAGTGATTAAATTTTCTGCCAAAGCAGAAATTCTTTCGGCCTTGTAAAGTTTTAGTATAGAGCAGTGGCCTTCATATCAATACTTTTGTCTAAATTTATTTTGATTTGTAGGAATAAATTATTTGGTAGTCGTCTACATGTGCAGTTTATGGTCTATCGCAATAAAGTAACATCTGGGGGCGAAGTCTTCAGAAATTATCTGCTTATGTTGCTGCATTTACGTAGTTTTTTATATGCAAGTTTCCTGAAAGCGGACGTGGATGAGTGTACGAGGAATGGATCCGCGATATGTTTCGATAGCTATCTCGTTCACCAATTGATTACTGTCTGCATGTCGATGAAATGTCATACATTTTGAAGATAGTGTACGCCTTTTTGCCAACTGTCAACATCTGGTATAAAGAAATAAACTAGACCCAGTGAGGAGTATTCTGTCTAATGTGACTGTCAGAGCCTGAAGACCATGAACTGATATGAATATATATAGTCAGCAACCCATAAAAAAAGAGTTGAAGCAATGAACTGATTTAGGATTAAAAATGAGTGACTGATTTCAAGCAGTTGAAAAACGATTTGATCTCTTGATATGAAAGTTGAAGTTTCGGTCATTAAAACTTTCGTCTTTGAGAGAGTTACTGGTGGAATATGGAATACGCCTTTCAGCTCTTAATTCCCAGAGCTACCCTCGTGGTTAATCGAGAAGTTTGTTAATGTTTTAACTACAATTTAAAGACAGGACTTCCATTCCCACTGGAAACATCCACATTTATCATAGTAAGCGAAATGCGAGGCAACTCGTCTACGGGGCTTTGATAGAAGCACAGTTAAACGGCTAGGCTAAAATCGAAATGGGGCTTACGGTGGATACCGGGGTAAAGTATAACTTCGAGTAAATGTTGATTCACCAACACACACACCTCCGTGTGACAACTCAGCAAGACGGAGATCTGAATTGCAAGCAATGGATTTGCCTCTGGTGAAACAGAAGGTCACACCATCGGGGAGTGAAATGGAACATGACTAACCTCCGAAACAGTGGGAGGAGAAGGGAGTCTCTGACAGCGTGCCTGTCGAAGAATGAGACGGCGTCTTATACGTGTTGTCTGATTAGAGTGGAAGGATGGGAAAAAGGAGGAGGAGGAGGAGGAAAAGAGTTCTGGGGAGTGAAAAGACATTCCTCGTGGTGGGATGCGTCATCATGGATAAGGTCCTAAAGAAGTTTTAGATTCTCGACCGAAAAATTTATGACTTGCACTAGGTCCACAAATAAGGTGGAGAAGCATGAAATTTGTATACGACGTGTAGTCGCGGTTTTGTTGGGCTTCGTATAAAGTTTAGTAGTTTCCCGTCAACAGCTTGTACAGATCCATGAGAGTATCTATTATTGAAGTTTTGCCATGTTCCCCGATAAGGAAAGCCATACAGACGGCTTCGAAATGAAGGGTTCCATGCCCAGCGTTGCTAGATAAAGACCTGAGATATGTTTACGTTGCTCCTGACCGGTCTCTTCTATTGACCAGTTACTGCATCTGTCACGAACGTTCTTTTGCGCTTGCTCCTCATGTATCAACTTCTAGAATAAATTGAAAATTGGAAACCCTGAACCTTTTGCCATGTTGTGAACGTCAGTCTGTCAAACGAGGTTAACCTCAGGTTTTATTTTATTATGAATGTGGTATGTGATGCAACAAACATTTAGTTTAGTGGGGGGAGGACCAAGTAACATAGCAAAAAAGGGTGGAAGACCTCGTCCAATTTACACGGTCAAGGCATTTAGGTAACATGAAGCTAGAACCAATAACATCACAATGAGAAACATCTGAAGATAACCCAACTATGTGGATGAAACGGTTTATAAATATCAAAGAGCACGCGAGTGACCATTGAAGAGGTTATTTTTCTCTTGAAGAGAACACTAGTTGAACCTCTAGAGTTCGATGGAAATTTGTTGCCTCCAGTAGATTTCACAATATGATTTCACATGTGATATGTTTTCTTCAAATTTCACTTGTTATTGCACGATAAGCTACTACTGATTACTAGGAGACAGCACACAATAGTTTACTTTTAACTAGGTAGAGGAATATGCAACCACTCAATAGTCTCGAAATTAAGAAAAGAAATCGAGCATTGCAGAAAAAAAAATGAGAAGACCCAAATCATACTGCATGAATCGAAAGGGGTAGGATGAGGCTAGCTTCACTCTTATTAATCTCCAGTGGCAGCTTTCCTGAGGTATCTTTTACACAGTGAGCCGCACCTAGGCATGAAGCATCCCTATAGTAATGCTGTTATGGGTATTCACAGGTAATCCAAACATTGACATCAAGTCTAGACTCATTTACAACACACTACATGGAGTTGAAGTTCAAGTCAAATCCAGTTAATTTTTTGTACCGAGAAGAAAGAGGTTTACTCATCCTGGACATCCATGAGAGTATATAATATTACCATATCCGAAGCAGAGCCGAAAACGAAAATGCGGTGAGCGTGGATCGAACACGCGACCTTCAGATCTTCAGTCTGACGCTCTCCCAACTGAGCTATCCCCGCAGATGAATAATTGACATCTGTATTTATTTTTTAAACACTATTTCAGGTGGACCAAGCATGAAGAAAATGACTGCGTATAGCAACGAGAACGACATGTAAAGTTTGGTCATGTGAATTTTATCCCGGAAATATTTGGAAGCGCTGTTCCTAAAGTCAATTCATCCCATCCTTATTGCAATATTTAAAAGCATTCTGAAATTTGAGTACTGTATTCCTTCTTTCTAACCTCTCTCTAAAGCAGAAAATTCTATAATTTAAGTATTTTGGATGTGATGGCGTTCATACAATCTAGACTTATTTACTTGTAGATCTTCTTACGTATCATCTTTGAACTTGGAATGAAGTAATTATGTGGAAAAATAGATCTGTTAATTTATGAGATATGAGAGCTCATTTGATAGATATCACGACTAATCTTACAAAATATCTATTTAGATGGAGGTGCAAAAAGATGTTTTTGCACTTAGCGTTTGCCATTACTAGACATATGGCAGTTATGAGACCTTGTACTCAAACGCTAGAATTTGAATTAGAGATTAGTTTTTGAAATGCAATGAGGTGGTAATTACCTAGTGTTACAATTTGGAGACTTTTAAAAACAAGGACGATTGTCTGGATTGTAATATGTCGTTTATGTCAAAGAGAGAAGCTACGTTTGTGTGAAAATTTCCAAAATAAACTGGTTGATTTCAATACATATTTGTTGATGAATGAAAATTTATGATTTTTGAAGTGACAAAAAATACCTAATTTGCATTGGCGGTATTCTCACTTGCAATGTAAGTGTGCCAATGTATGATGATCAGTAAATAAAATTTTCTGGAATGATATCAAGATATTTTATTCTAATTTATGAAAAAGTAGCTATCATATTGTGGTGTTTGACTAGACATCAAAACATGTTGTGATGCAATGTTGATGGGCATTAAAACTAATTTCCTTTGACACGTGTACTCAAACATCTCTTTTTAAAACAACTCACAAGCTCTTCTCTCATGCACAGAATATTCATGTTTGTTCAAGTCTTGATTCAGCAATGTCTTCTGAAAACTTCTCATGAGATCAAGAAGTTAAATTTTTTCACGATAAAATATATATATATATTCAACTTTGTTTACCAAAAGAGTCACATTTCATTCTTCATATATTCACTTTCATCATTCTCATAGATTATTAAATTAAAATTCAAACTACTTCAGATGTATTAAAGTAAACACTTGAAATTTTAGACATATTCTAGAAATATATTAAAATATGTTGAATTCAAAAAATTAATGAATAAATTATTGTATTATTTGATAAACGTTATTATATACTAGTCATATACTAGTTATTCTATATCAGGTCATAATGCTAGTGACGAATTCTCATTTACCAAAATATAATACTTTTCATCTCAACTTTGTAGCTTTCGTAAACTTAGGATTTTTCATTTGTTTTGAATGTGGAAGCAAGTTATGTTAATGTTAATAAATTAAAATTTTGGCATTAATATTCAAATGTTATTTAAGATTTCATTTTCAAAATTTCTTTAATTATTTATCAATTTTAGGATATATAATATCCTAAAATATCCTACTTGTTTTTGATTATTTAGAAAATATCAATACGATATGGACCTCTGATTTTCTGTAGTATTATGATTTTTTGAAAAAGATCTGTTTTGACAGCTTGCTCAGGAATGAATTTGATTTGGTTTCACTTATTTTAAAGAATTTTTAAATTAAAAAATAGTAAAAATAAATACACATATTTCATTATTAATTATTGCACATAAATTATTCTTTCAATTCTGAATCAAAATTTTTTACGGTTAAAAATATTTATTTATTTCATTTAATGCCAATTTTTTTTGATAATTATATTATCATATAATAATATGACATGTTACTTTGTTCTCTATTACACATTTGAAAATTAGATAAATATTTTTTAATATTGGAAATGATTTAAGATACTATGGATAAAAAATAACGATTGCTACAGATAAGAGGATCAATATGATCGATTTGAAAATCTTACAAGCACTCCCAACTTTATACAAACATCGAAATCTTAGTATACATATATTGAAAGATTAAATGCGATTAGGTGAACTGTTTTTTTAAGATAACTTTATTTTGAAGAGTTAATAATCTTGATGGTGTAAAGATCTAGTGATAATGTGATAATTACGATTATGTGAATTTACATAATACAGATTAGGAAGATAAAGAAGATACATTTTTTGGTTTCTTCTTGGCTTGTTACTCAAATGTGGAATAGACACCCAAAAGGTGGTTTGGTATGTACTCGGTCGCCAAATGATACTCGAAATAGAAAATCAAATAAGTGATACTAATTGGTCAAATGACGGAAAATTGCCCTCCTCGAGGCGTGTTTATACCTGTCTATACACGTATGCGAATCCAAAAAAGCCTATTGCCAATTATGCAACAAGAAGAGTTAGAGAAAGGAAGTGTGTGGAGAGATGTTTCACGTATATTAGTCTCTTTGTATGTATGCACTTTGAATACTAAATTTTTGTATGTAATTAATCGGGAGATGCGTACTTAATATTTTCATTTCCAAATAATTGTATAGAGTTCCAATGTCCAAGAAATTAAATACCAAATTCCTGAACAATGTGAGATCATTTCAAAATTAAAAAAATATAGTACTCAGAACAAACTCGATTTAGTGCATAATTATGAAATTAGTGATGCATCTACCAATTAGTGTACCATTTTCTCAGCCCCCTCCAAAGTGCCAAAGATTTTTTGGATCTTTGGCATCGCACCATTACTTTTCTGACTATTTTCAAGAGTTTCCTTCCCTCTCCCATCCACATTTAATAATATGCGTATCATGCACAATTTGATAATTCCACTTTCCCCGAGTGTCACATAATATTTTTGCCCTAGATGTTTCATGATACAAAGAAGCAAAAGATTAGATTATTGGAAAGAGATATTTACATCTTGGCCTTTTCCCAACCCCGCCCATGATTCTGATGTTAGATTCTTGCTTGGCTTCCCCAATCCCAGGGCATAGAATGGGGCAGAATTCTAGTCTTGAATGTGAAATTTATAGTGAAAATGTTAAAATCCCTGAAATTTACAATGAATTAGTTTAAAATATTAATCTTTTAAGTTTGTCGAATGAAATGCGTACTTAAGTGAGATGCGTAACTAAATGGGTGCCTACTTAAGTGGAAGGCCTTCCATTTAAGTAGGCTACTGTACAGTACGAGACTTCAGAACACCCGGAATGAGTCCAGCAGACCTCCGAAACAGTCAGAACATGCATGATTTCATGCTCGGGAAAACTGACGCGTATGCTTATATAGGAGGAGTCTTGACCTGCGTGGACCAAGTGACACGTCCTTTCCTGGATTTTGGAATCGAAGAAACGTGTCGAAATGGCCAACCTGGACTCCTCACAGGCCCAGGTCCGAGGTGGACGATTTGTCCACGCGGCGGAGTACCGGCAGAACCCTTGGTGTCGACTGGACCTTGGTTTTCCTCCAAGGTTGGAATGAATGAAGACTGTGGACCAGCCGCAAGTTCAAAGTCGAAGTTCGGCCCGGCGAATGCGGTCGCACTTTGAATTTGAAACTTTGTCTCGAGACCCCGAAGGCTCTTGAATGCGCGGCGCACCGTTGTGCTCGCGAGTACTCCGAGTCCAATGTCGAGGCACGCTCCCCTGAGCGCCGGTGCTGGGCAGTCCATTCGATGATGTCGATGGAGCGCAAGAAGCAGAGAGTGTAGAGAAATGCTTGTTTCTAATCCAGGGGAAGTGGATTTTCATGGCGGACTTCCGATTATGCGATGGAAAGAAACGTAGTTGTGAGATCGCAATACGCTGATGTACTCCATCAGATGGGTTGCAGGTAAGCAAGCGTACATTCGGGATACCTGCGTTCCCGAGATCGAAGGAATGGGAGAGGCCAGAAGCGGAAATTCGCTAGCAGTTTCAATTGACATGCCCCCCCGGCCCCCTGTTGGAAAGCCTTCTGATTTTCGACACGAAGTTGTATGATGTTAATCTGTCGACCGCACACCGGTAACAATCTGTATACTTTGTCGGTGGAAGTAAGCGCAGTATCCTCCACTACTCGGAGATGGCTTTCGATGTTCCGTTGCCTCCCTTAGGCAAGCGACACAATGACGGATGGAATCTAGTGCAAACTATCATCGGGTCGGTTCCGGCTGGCGCCCATTCATCGTTGGCACAGGGAAATTTGCTAACTGTAGGGTTAGTCGAAGATTCTTGGATCCATCAGGACAAAATATACCCCTGTAGATTCGTAGCTTTCATTGAGGGTTGAATGTAGTCGATTGTCAGAAACCCTACGTAGGAATCGTCGAGTACAAAACAAGATTTTCGTTGAACTATGAAGACCTTGCCCGGCCTTGGACTGGGCACCCTTGGGAACGACCTGGCTTCGTTGACTGTCTGCGGTGATTCATGTTTTCGACCCAGAGAGATAATTGTAGAACCTGAACTCATTCTGGATCCGACGATATGGAGTCGGTTGCCCGACTTCATCATCGAGAAAATCATTGCGCGGTTGCCTGTTCCAGACTTATTCCGCTTCCGCGCAGTTTGTAGGCAGTGGAATAACTTGATGACGAATCCAGGGTTCCTCGGCTCCTGCTCGGACGCTCCTCAAGCTGGCCCCTGGTTCCTGTTATTCACCCGAGGTGATTACAGAAACGGCATAACTCACAATCACATCACGAACAAGTGGCAACGGATCCCTCTTTTCTCCCATCTCCCTCCCTACGAATCACTCTATCCTTGTGCAGCAGCCAAGGGGCTGGTCTGTTTTATCTCCAGGTTCAATGCTCTAGGATCAATGACTTTGGTTGTATGCAATCCCTTGACGAGTTCTTGGCGAGAGCTGCCTCCCATGGTGGAAATCCTCCCCCTGTACGCCGTGGGGATTCTTCCGGAAAGCGAGAGGGGCATCTACCACGTCGTTGTGTCAGGGCTGAGGCGAATTCCTCACACCGGCAGAAACGCCAGAGAAACTTGTCGCTTGAGGCCTACGACCGAGGTATTCACTTCCACAAATAATTGTTGGAAGACAACCGGTGGTATGCCTCCTGGATCATACCACTCTTTAGCCGTTCCCTGCAACGGAATTCTCTACTCTTGGTGTTATGTCTCGGATGCCCTTGTGGCGTACAATGTGTCCTCGGCATGCTGGACACAGATTTATGCTCGCATGCCGCGATTTTTTGAAGGCCACAGGCTTGTAGAATGCGATGGGCACCTCTTCATGGTCGGTGGCCTAAATAAAGACAATGTCACGAAAGGCATTTACGTGCTGGAGTTTCAGTGGGACAACATGGAGTGGATCAAAGTCGATCGCATGCCCAAGCTCCTGTGTGAACAATTTCTGCGTTACGGGACGGATTTTCGCTGCGTCGGATACAGCGAACTGGTTCTTTTGTACGTGGTGAGATACAGGCGGATACGGCTTGCTGTGCTTTACGATCTCACAAAAAAATTGTGGCGAAGACTCCCTCCATGTTCTCTTGCTGAAGAGAGGTTGATCCATGGGATTGCTTTCGAACCGAGGCTGGATGCCATGGCGTAAACGATTAGCTCCTCTGCGATCATGAAACCGCTAACTTTCTCGCTTGCTTGTGACAGCTGGTCCTGTCTCAAGCTCACCTTCCTCATCGAACTCAGCACAACTCGTCTGTTAAGTCTCTGGGGATGTCTAATACTGTTGTTTGAGACTAGTGCAACCTCCGTTTTCATCGTTACTGAACTTGCCCACGTTCGCGAACTCATTGTTCTCTTCCTCGGAGGTCTTAATGACCGAAAGAGCCATCATGGCGCACTCCCTGCAGACACGCCCGCCACCTGCAATAACCAGATGAGAATTATGAGATGTGCTCATTCAGGAGAACGGTACAGTAGGAAGTGGTACGATTCTCCTCGCTGAGTTTTTAGAAACCATGGAAAGATGTGAGGTTTCAACTTCAAACCGGGTTTCTAATCTTCGGCATTAGTCATATTGCTCACTCGTGCTCAGAAAGTAGAGAAGTGTTGATCAGCCACATAAATTCGTACAGTGCTGTGGCTGGTGTCCCAGGGAAAACCACTCTCCCTTGCCTTACTTTTTTGGAAATTAGTTCGGCTCCGTAATTTCTTTGGTGGGGTTCTCATCCCTCGTAAAAGGGAAACTCCCTCTGAGCATGGGGCCGGTACGTCGTATGAAAGGTATCCTTCACTGTGACGAGTAAATCTACCACCAAGCAATAATACGGAATTACTGACTTGGGGTTGTTGAGCTTCGTAACACGGACTACAAGCAACATGAGCTGCTGCTCCGTTGCTTATAGTCCGTGCCTGCGCATGGGGTGAAGCTCGATGAGAGGATGATGACCTCTCTGCTGAAAAGCCTTAAGGAACTTAGTGAATCGAGAGGCAACCCTAACAACTGTTTTGAGACAAAAAAGTATCGGATTGACTCTTGTCTGTTCTTCTGCAGGGTAAGATCGTAAATATCGCAGGCTATTGGACGGCCCGGAAGCCCCAAACAACCGTTGTGGGCTTGTTCTTACATCACGTTAGGCATCGGATGCGGTTTTATCCAACCTTCTCTGCACCGGATCCAAGCTTCTCTACCAAAAGGCAACTTAGGCCTCATAGCTATAGTGGTCCTCTGATCTTTACGAGGTCTGGAGCACTTAACACGAAGTTCAAATCATGTCCTCTGGTCTTATGACTATTATCGATTTGGAAGTATTCAACTGCATGTGGTCAGCAGTTCTAAAGAAGTTGACGCCTAAAAGAGTGCACGCCCCTCCTATGTCTTCTCTCAATTACATTGTTGTAATGATATCCTCTCCTTTAACAACTGAAGATCACCGAGCACAAGGAACAAAATTAGTTAAGTAGAATATTATAAGAGATTCCAGTGCGAGATTGGCACTTCTGGTCACCTACTGTTGTGAATGACTCTGATCTTTCCTTAACATCCTGGAGAGCATTCTGAGCGAGTAAATGCTAATGTCCTCTTTCATTTCGCTCGTTCGGGGTCGTTTGTTAGCAATAAGCATATACAGGCCGGCTTGCAGTACAGTTCTTTACGTTTTTCTTGTCCGATTATTGAGCTCCATTGTCTGGACGACCTAACTAATGGTATCAGCTCATAATCCACATGCTAGCGAAATATTCTATGGTCGCGTCTGTTCGTGAACAAGACAGTGAGTAGATTATTCTTTTATGAACATTTCTCCGTGCTTTTACATTCCTAATGATGAGACAGCTACCGCGTCTTCAAGGAAAGGCACATACATTTTCACCGAATTGTTGTAATTCCGGATGAGGCAGAGCCGGTGGACACCTTTGCGCGTTTGTTACTCACTTCAGACTCGGCGTGATTGAGCTGTCGAAACAGTAGGTGGTTCAGTCCATCTTGTACGCGAGTATTTGCTTCATGTCTCAAACAATGTCAACGAGCTTAGTGTCTTCAGAGTTAGGCAAAGTTCTGGGACGATGACACCAAAGGAATGGTCAAAAAGCCTTTGAGGTGAACGTAAGTCACTTCAAGTTTACCTTCTCACTCGACGTGCTTACTGAACAGATTGGTGTAGAAACTTTGCGGAGTTTGTCAACCAGGAGTTGTGATTCCTGAATTTACAGACGGACGCTCTTCATTGCCATGCATGCTTTCATTCCTTTGCTTGTCTGTAGGTGCCTACGACTCCCTATCCTGACGATTTAGCGCCACGTCGCAGACTACGGTTGCTCAAAAAAATTCACCAATAATCTTACGACCTTGACTCTGCAAAGTTTCACAGGCTCGGTGTCTTTGCCACGTGTGGCCACAGAAATCCAACTTTAGTGCCATGAATGACATTCAAAACCGTTCAGCTGAGTTCGTGTGCTTGACGATGCTCCCCGCAAGCAGCACGGACGAGAAGGAAGTAAGAGTTTGTCGAGTGCGTACGAAACAGCTGTGCATTTGCACAGTCACACCTCTTACTGTAATTCCGCTTGGATGGCAGCAGCTAGAGGGTATCAGATCTGCTCGACATCTCACATTGGAGACACTTGGATCTTGGACCGAAGATGGAAATTGTGTCCTCGTCAATTAGAGCTTAGCAGTAGCAGATGTGGATCGTTTGTGCCACTGCGTAAACATCTTTCAGTTTCCCGTGTTGACTCGAAGTTCAATCCTCGTGACGGGAGTCGATTCTTTGGGATAAAAGTCCACCTTGAAGAAGAATCCGAAACTTCCGAAGATAGCGGTAAGATTTCTTCTTCCCCTTCAAGTTGCATTGTTCTTGATCGTCTAACGATGGTAAATTTACATTGGATCATTGTGCTTGATATGCATATCGCAAGTCGGGATAGAAATGCAATGGAGGTCCGCAATCTTGTAAAATACAAAGATCAGCATTAAATATAATTTGGGCCCTTTATTAGCATTTTGCTTGTAGGTTGCAACAATTAAGCAGTTTTTGTGACTTCTCAGACCAGGCGAATGCAAAAGTTGAAGTCAGTAAAGCCACAAAACAACCACCTTCTCGAATTTCGGATTGGGATCTATCATGGCTACCCGTGCTCCCACATGTTGTGACTGCAGCTATGGCAAATTTCTTGTTCGGCTACCACATTGGGTTCGATTTACTACCTTCAACTGCCCTCAGAGATATTATACCGATCTGACCTAGCCAGGAAGTTTTCTTGAAGTTTGTATGAGCTCGTTAGGTGACTGCTGTTCAGATTTCCATAGAGTTCGCTGAGCTTGACATACATCGCCGTTCCTCATTGTTTATTTCGTGGCCTGCAGAATTATCAATGGTCCTCTGGTATCGATCGCCAAGGAGTTGAAATTCGAGGGGAACACGTTGCTCGAGGGTTTTGTTGTCAGTATATTTATTGTGGGGGCCTTTGTTGGGAGCATTAGTGGGGGGGTGCTCTCAGACGCAGTCGGTCGCAGGAGAACCTTTCAAATATGTGCAATCCCTCTGGTTCTAGGGGCCGCTTTGAGGTGCTCGGGTTTCCGTGGTGCTCCTTTCTGAGTCAACCAGTTACATATATGCGAAATCAGTGGTTCTTTTCCTTAGTGCATAATTTATGCATTTTAGCTTCAAAGAGAGTTGGTTTCCTTTCCTGCTCTTAGTAATTCGTGCCCTTCGTTGTGACAATTTCCAGTGCGTCTGCCGGTTCTGTCGATGCTGTTATTCTAGGCCGTCTTCTGGTCGGAATTGGTATCGGAGTCAACACAGCGCTAGTCCCACTCTACATCTCGGAGGTGATTATATTGCTATATTTTTTCAGTCAATCCACTTGTCTGTGACGTCTGGATAGATGAAGGAAAAATTGGAGGATTCTCGAAAATAAGCTGTACTGCTTCACTTCGCAAACTCTGTCATCCAGTACTCATTCATATTGCAACTTCGCAGATTGCGCCGACAAAGTATAGAGGAGCATTGGGAAGTCTCTGCCAAATTGGAACCTGCACGGGACTTATAGCAGCATTGATCTTCGGCATTCCTGCTGAAACTGATCCACATTGGTACATTCAAACTTCATCAGAATTGTGTCTAGTGTTGGTAACATGTTCAAAAAATATTTGTCCTCGATATTCTCAGGATATTGTAAATGCTGATGGGTCTGATGTTGCAGGTACGATCATATGAAGCTTGGGGCTTAAGTCAGAAATTCCCTGAACTACCGTGTTCTCTGCAAGACAGCCGATCATAGAATTAAGGAATTCGCTTAGAGAAACCGTGTACATTTCAACCGTGGAATGCTTAGAATCGATCATCACCGTATTCATGCATCCATCGGTTGTCTCCGCATCAGGTGGCGCACAATGTTTTGGGTGGCGACTCTTCCTGGTCTTCTGCTTATCGTTGGGATGCAATACGCGGTTGAGAGTCCACGATGGCTTGGCAATGTGAGTTTCGGCGGTATATTCGAGTTCCGTCCAGATATTGTCTTTTGAGTTTAACATCTCAAGTCTCCTTCATAGATTTTGCTTCCTCAGGTGGATAGCTTCTTTCTGTTTCCAGGTTGGGAAGTGGGATGATGCTAGCTCCACCATCGAGAAACTCTGGGGCAAGGAAAATGTCGAGGAGGCAATCAAGGAGTTAAGGAATGCCAACATTAATAAAGAGGAAGAAGCGTCATGGTCTGAGCTCCTCACGAAGCGCTACTTCAAAGGTAAACTATCTCATATGCCTTGTCCTTTATCTAATGAATTTGAAACGAAGGTTGGAGAAGCAATTAGATAAAACAGAGTTGGACTCAATGTGATCGAAGTACTATTGAAAGTGCAACTGATCTGAAGACGCGAAGCAAAAACGTGCTCGAAATATCAACGTTGAGATGTAAACACATCTGAACGTTTGAAAGAGAAGCAATTATATGAGATGAAAAATGTCGAAGATGTGTATGTCACGCAAAATTAACACACCGTCTGAAGACAGGCGGCAAGAACTTCACCTGCGTTAGCAAATTTGGAGCTTCTGCAACAGACACTGTAATCTAACCTCCAGCGCCGAATCTTTGATTTATGGTATTTACAGTTGCCAGTATTGGTGGAGCTCTGTTTGCATTACAACAGTTTGCCGGGATCAATGGCGTTCTTTACTTCTCCTCATCAAATTTTCAAGATGCGGGAATCACAAACAGCATAGCGGCAAGTGCAGCTGTGGGTTTTTCAAATCTGGCAGGTATATTTCAACTTTGATATATGCCTGGCCATTGCAGACGCATTTGCATTGCAAAGCTGAATTTAGGAAGAGGATTGTGGCCAGAAAGGTGTCACATGCGGAGGGCAGAATGGACTGTTCCTAGATTCTCTGTGGCATTACGTAACTTACAAAGCTTTCAAGTATGTCGACGGAGTTTGATTTAGTAGATAAAGCTCAAAGGAACCGATCTTGTGTATGATGGATCAAACATGAGCCGAAATTTTGTCGAGAAATCTGATTAATGTTTTTCGTGACTTCAGGTGCTTTTGTTGCTTCTTCGTTGATGGATTCTCAGGGCAGGCGAAAGTTGCTTATGGGAAGCTATACGGGCATGGTATGCTGAACTGGATCATCCATCCCATTTCAACAGTTACTGAAGACTTTTTCCGTATTTTAGTTATAAACCGGCGTCATTTGCAGGTTATGCTGTAGTTACGTGACCTTCTAGTCTGGGGTTAATCTGTACTGCTGGCTTAATGTGAACGGACAGGCCTTGTCTATAGCACTCATGGTGTCAGCTCTTAATATCCCAATGGAGGAGCAGCTCTCCCACACATTCTCGGTTGTCGGCAATCTTACGTAAGTTTGTAACCAACTCGATAAAGAGAACTATGATACTTCCAAATTTATAGAGAGGGCTCAGCGAACTAGTTCTTATGTGTGAAACCCGTGTTGTATTTTATTAAACAAAGTGGAGCGCAGCTTATGAGTTCTATGTGACATAGTTAACTCGCGTAGTAGACTTATTAATTCGTAGTCGGACTTTGGGTCCATCTTTGTACAGCTCTGTGCTGTGGCGTGATGACGCACTTGGTCGAGGCTTCCGTTGCGAATTACTCTTCATTTCCAGACCCCTTACTTCCTCATAACTCATATACTTGTTTTGACAGGTACGTATTCACCTTTGCATTGGGGGCGGGTCCAGTGACAGCGCTGATCATCCCAGAGATGTGCAGCACAAGGATCCGAGCCAAAGCCTTGGCAGTCAGCCTCTGTGTACACTGGGTAGGAACCCTTCGTCCACCTTGCGCTGCAGATTATATAAACTTGAGGCTTTTGTGTGTTGTATAAAACTTGATCAATTATATCACATAAGAAAAAGTAGCTTTCTATTTATTTGCAATAGACCTGAGAATGTGCCTCGTACAATTGCTCCTTTGACGCTAAGACTGCCATCGGATTGACGTTGCTTGTGAACGAACAGGTTTGCAATTTTGCCATTGGGCTTCTGTTTCTTGAGTTTGTACAACGATTCGGCCTCTCTGCTGTGTACACGAGCTTCGGCGTTGTTTCACTTTTGTCAGTCCTCTTCACAAACCTGTACATTATCGAAACGAAGGGACGATCCTTAGAGGAAATTGAAAAAATACTCCTAGGCTCCGAAAGCGGTTTGAATTAGTGCTCTATCGCCTCCTGTGTAACCTAATGTGAATATATTAACGGAGTGGCTAGTTATCCCTCAGTTTAGGTTATTTATCCGGCACTCTACAGACGAGAGTGACCGGGAAGGAGGGAGAGTAGGGTTTGAAAATTCCCCGAGGGTTCAAGTTGGCATTTGTAAACCTCGCGTTCACGACGATTGGGGAGAATCTGGCCAAAATGGTGCCCTTGCCATTGCAGGCTTCTCCCATTGTATGTATGGAGGGGACTCGGGAGCAATTGGCCACGAGACTGCTAAATGAAATAAAGAAAGAAAGAAATCCAGAAAACGTTGGCTAGATGTTTATTCGTTTCCGGTCTGCATTGCAGACATTTGATTTTGGATTAAATCGGGACCGATTGAGGTCAGTGGCGGAAGGAGACTTTGCTGCATTTAGATTAAGACGAGCGCTAATAAAAGCTTCTAGTCATATTACTCGCATTTTTCGTGGATGACAAGGGAAAATTCTGTCTTGTAAGTTTCGCCTCTTAGTGTGAACGAGCCGGTTGTTTCATTTCGAGACTCTGAGAAAGATGAGGACGAGTTGGAGGGAGAGAGAAGACAGAACTGTGAACTCTTCTTTTTGCTTGCAAGATATTCGAACGAGCTTGCCAGAAATTCAATTTCTTTTTGGACACTTTCACCTTCTCAACTCACGCACAGGTTACCTCTTACCAATCACAGAGCCCTCACCCTACTAGAGTATAGTAGGGTGACGGGTAATTACCCTAAACTGAGATATAACTAGCACTCCCTATATTAAAGGTGACTTACCAACTCTCTACTCCATTTGATCTCTGTACTCCACTTCCAGGGAGACGTTGATGATCGTTATTCTGCCAGGGAGACATTGATGATCGTTATGCTGCTCGTAGTGTCGAAGTTGTTTGTTAGACATGTATACGATGTACAAAGATGGGACAGATTTGTTGGTTGTTCACACTTCAGGCAAATTTACTCAGACGTTTACCTTATCTATAAATAATGAAAAGAATCAATAGCAACTTTACAAAGCACCACTGTTGCATATTTGAGTGTTACATTTTCTCAACCATCATGGTTGAGAAGATGATCATATCTCCAAATCCAAAATCATTCGTTCGGAGGTGTAGATAAGATGTGTAATGCAAATGATGGTGCTCACAATCTTCCCATGAGATAGTTGCAAACTTTAAAACTGAACTTGTAGCCAGCTCACTTGGCCATGCTGAAAAAACCATGTTTACACTAAGCAAATGATTGTGCACATGTGCGTAGCCTTGGCCACGTTCCGGCGGTTAACCGTACTCATTTCGTCACCTAAGATTTATGTATCCATTTCGACAGCCAAGACTAATTTATCCATTTCGTCACAGGAGACTAAAGTGTATTTCATAAATGGTTTAGAGTGTTTTTACGAGTTGTTAGTATTGTGAATGTATTTCATATTATAGTGCATAGCCTTTATAATGAAGTCAATAGAGCTCTTATTGTCTTGAGCTAAGAGAGTAGGTTGAGCTTCCTCAATATGATTAGTAACCATATTGAGTAAGCTCAATTTACTGAGCGTTAATGTGTATTTCATAAATGGTTTAGAGTGTTTTTACGAGTTGTTAGTATTGTGAATGTGTTTCATATTATAGTGCATAGCCTTTATAATGAAGTCAATAGAGCTCTTATTGTCTTGAGCTAAGAGAGTAGGTTGAGCTTACTCAATATGATTAGTAACCATATTGAGTAAGCTCAATTTACTGAGCGTTAATGTTACGAACAACGATAATGTTGCGGAATTGGTGAAGTGTAACTATTGGTTATACTTTACCAATTCCAGAACATTATGAGGCGATGAGTCAAGATATATGAGCATCCAGCGCTATTATATTGTTTCTCCGTGACAAGTTGGTCGTAGTCCCATCAGGCCGTCGCAAATTCCAATATTCATTCATCGTTGCCGTCACTATAGCAGTCGAACAGCAGCAGCATGGTCGATGCCATTATCGTTACCGATTTAGAATCATCCTCAACCTACAGTGTACATGGAAAATTTGTCAGTGTTTCTAGCCGAAAAGCGACGACATCCAGTGGACAAAAGCGGAAGGCAAAATCCTCTACAAGTTGGATTTGAAATCATTTTCAATTGGTGAAAGATTCCAATCAATCCAATATTATCTGCCCGAATACACGGGATCTCAAAACATTAGGTGTAGTGCATCATTCTTGAATAAGATTGGAACAAACACATTGTCTCGTGATTTGCTAGTAAAACACAAGATGTTAATCGATCAACAATCAGAGTATCCTCTACAGACACTTTTTGAAGCAAATGTTGAACTTCAAGCTTTGTATGAGCTGGATCACAGAGTCCATTAAGTCATTCTCAATGCCTTGATTGCATTTGTGGTGGATCATCAGCAAGCGTTCAACCTAGTCAAGAACGAGACGTTACAATCATTTTGCCGTTGCTTCAATCCTCATTAGTCGTTGTCATCGCGGCATATTCTAACTCGCTCATTACGTGATCGTTTTAAATGATCACTGTTGACATTTTCTTAAAAAATAAATATAATCAAAGAAGCGATTGCTTTCACTTTGGATTGCTAGTCCACTCGCGTGATATGTGACCATATCACACGGTGGTTATTGTTCATTGGATTGATCAAGAGTGTAAATTGCAATTTGTTGTGTTGAAATTTCACTACTTTTCAACTTCATACATTCAACACACGTCAGACTTGATTCTTTCTTTTGTGAAAGATTTCAATATTTTTACCAAGATCAAGGTTTTCACATTCGATAGCGGCGGAAAGATGTCTTCCGCCATGATCATTGTGCGACATAATCCAATTGATCAATACTCCCTTCGTTTGATGGGTTATTTTCATATTCGATCTCTTTGTCACGTCATCAATCGTGTTGTATGTGATGTTACAAAGTTCATAAAAAAGTAAGTGCAAATGCTCCGTCAAATCCTCAAGATTGTTTGCTAATCCATTGCTATCCATGTCAAATTTTCAGATTTGGCTATTGTGGTGTGCGTTTTCAATGACCATGTTGAAGTTTTAGGTCTAGATGTGAAGATACGATGGAATTCCATATTCATCATGATCGCTCAGTACTTTCAATATCGTGATGCATTTTCAATGCTATGCAATTCTGAAGAATTTTATGGTCAATTGGCCAATATGGCTTTGTCCGACATGAATTGACGTAAACTTAAATCATGCAAAGACTTTGTGCAATGTGCGTACCATTGCATTGTTGTCGTAAATGGACGTGGATATGTTTCAAACTCTCTTTAATCTCTTATCTACAAACATCTTCTTACTCTGTGCAAAAAAAATCTTTTTGGATAACTAGACAATGATTGATTTGATCGTCAAAAAAGATGTTGTTGTCATGTAGCTCAAGTTGCTGAAATATAGTACCAATCCAAATTGTCAAGATGTCCAAATTTCTTGCTTTTTTATCCTTGATCTAGCAATGCTCGATCCTCTGAAACATCCTGATGAAACTGAAAGACCTGATTTGATTCATTTTGACGGAAATGATAGAACTCAAAGATCTGATTTGATTTATTTTGACGCAAGATTACAGCTTGTGTTGGAGGAGCTGCCAATTCCAACTTCCGGTATAATGGTTACTTTTGCTGGAGAAGAAGACAATATCATTGAAAACACTACACGCATTGACAAGGTCTACAACTTTTTCATGTTCACAGCGATTCATGTCTTACATATCAATATGTTGGAAACAAAAATGAAATTGCTTCACGACCTTATCCAGGATGGTCATGGACACATTGATGATTCAAAGTTCTTATGTGACATTTGAGTCAGCATTTTTGGAAAGTGATGCATTTGTTTGTCCTGATCGTTCAAAATTATTGGACAAAAACATCAAGGTGATGACAAAATTGAAAAGCTAAAACCGTTTATTTCAAAAGCAAGCTTCTCAAAAATCATATAAGTTGCTTGCGTCATTGTTTCTTCAAAGGTGTTAAATGGAACGGTTAGTAGATTTAATTATTTTTTTAACTGAATAATCGTTAGATCAATATGGCCAAACTTACATATGAGGCAATATATGTTTTTAGCTTGTGCACACTAGGTTTATTGGCTCTACCAAAATGTTTATTTTTGCATGCAAGTTTGCTTGCTAATGAAATGATAAGATTTGTGCAGCCAAGAGATCAAAGAAGGTTGGACCTGCCACGATGATGATCAACTTTAAAAGTTTTCACCCTTGGCTTTGTCTCACTTTGCATCTAAAATAGGATGTACATTCTTCATGATGTTTAGATTAATACTAATTATTAAATATATAGGATTTTTGATTTGTCAAAAGTAGTAGGTAATTTTTCTCAAATGTATACATCAAAGTAAACTATTGAATATTTGTCAATCTTCAGTTATTTGTCATTTAGAGACAAACAACTCACGCCAAGTATCTTAGTATGTTGATGTGAGTATAATATATTGAACATATCCACACAATTTTATCTATGTAATTGCTGAAGATTAAGTAACTTTTCAGTATCTACTTGAACAATATAAATCAAGATAAAAGTCCAAAGTTGATGATGATTTTGAAGTCCAAAAACATGTTCATCATTTCAATCTTTTAGACCTATATTTAAATTGTATTTCTTTGTGTTGTGATGGATTGTCCAATTATTGTTTAGTTTAGAAAGAACAATACAACTGCGAAATCCATCTAATATTCATTATACTCAATTGATCGTACTTAAATTCAGCAACAATGCTTTCGAATTTGATATCATTTATTGTTTGATTATTCCTTGCATATGTCAAATAGCAATAAAATCACTCACAAATTATTTTTCATAAAATATTCAACTACACGTTGCAAATAGCATGAATTAGTATACAGTAAAATCCCTCATACCTTATACCCTCTTAGTTTATAACCTCAGCTACCTTATAACATGTGTGAGTCCCAATACTTACACTTTACCAACCTTTATACTTTACCACTCTACCAACCTTTATACTTTACCACTCATAGGTTATAACCTGCCAACGGTACCATTAGTATTGGCTAAAAGGGGTTTTACCGTACTTTCATGCAATTCAAACAATATTAATCAATCTAAATAAACTTCAATAGCATTTTATGAAGAAAAATATTTTAATCAAACGTTTGAAACAATACTAAGTATTAAAATGCATTCTTTAAAATAATTTTTTTGTGTAACATCAAGAAAAATAAAATTCACATTTGATTAAAATACTTGATTTTTGAGCATGAACAATAGTAGAATGCATCTCTTTCATTTTGAATAAATCAATTTAATATATAATATAAGATCATAGAAATTCATCTTCATTACATATAATAATATTCATTAGTGGTGTGATAAATATCATTATGAATACATGTATTTATTCATTATAAACAAATTCAATGTTATTTCTTATTTTCTTGTATAATCTACTTTTATCCTAACAAAGTAAAGAGTTATAGAAGTATTTTATTTACTTAGTTTGCTACTTGAACATACATCAAACTCTTCAAATATTGAAATTTCAGGGTTGAAGTTTTTTTTTTATACATATATAAAAATATTTTTCATTATAATAAATTTTTGAATTCTTTCTTGATGTAAATTTTAATTAATTTTTTTTTTTATGTTTAATTTTTTTTAAAAAAATTCTCAATGATTTTATTTATTGATTTGGTTGTGATATGTGTATTAGAAATATACAAGCATGGATTTATTAGTTGCTAGCCTAAATCACCTAAGTACTTTTAATTTGGTAGCTTCAAGAAAGTTAAATTTGGTAATTTAGACGCTTTTGTACTAAAAGTCACCTCAAGTGGACTTGAGAACTAATGAGGGGTTTGGAAGTAATTGGATAGAGAGTGATAACTCTTGCAGTCGGACTATGAGGCTACCAGGGTAAAGAAAATTTCATTTACAACTCCGGATTCTGACCCAAGTAGCGATGAGAGTGATGTGGTAACGAAATGAATGGCTGAGATCTTCGAATCTACTCTAATTTTGAGTCAATAAGAGTGTAGATACGCGAGTTAATTTAGTAGCCAAAGGGAGTGTGGATTTAGGTAATTTAGGTGACTTGATATACGATCGCCTAAAATAATTATTCCTAGAAATATATCTTTATGTATATTTGGGGCTTGAATTTATAACACATTTTCCAGCATATTTTAACATGAAAAAATATAATAATTTGAGTTCAAAGTTTGTTTAACGTATAGAATATGAACAGATGTGAAATTTTATTTAAAAAATGAATTTTTAGAAGTTTAATAAGAAATTTTTGTCAAATTGGAGAATCATTAAATTTTATCCTTGGACCAGTTTTTTGTCTATGTCATTAACAAAAATTTTGAACAATTATATTTTAATTTACAAATTTTCTATTTGAACATGCTCATTGAACTCTATGAAGTTAAAAGTTAAAGTATAGAATAGATGTGTTGTTAATGTATCATATTCATGTGAAATCAAAAAATCACTTAATGATCTCCACATGAACTATCTTTATGTTGAATTGTTTACGTTATCAGTTCAATCGTTTTATTATTAGGTAAAAATCCTTTGAGCCTTCAGATATATCAATAATTTCTCATAAAACTTAAGCAATAAATTTTTTTGCAAGCCAACTGATATTTCCAAATTTTAATGGCAAAAATCATAATTAACTTATCTCGTTAAAATTAATTGGTAATCAAACTTCCAATAATACTTGAGAGAAAAACGCCACTAGATTCGAACATATAAGTTCAAAATCACAGACATGTGGCTTAAAACTGAACGAGAATAAATATGATAATAAACTAAACCGGGGGACTAAGAAGAAATAGTCAACTCATTTAAAACCGAAGTGCTTCAAAGCGGATAAAAACTGATTGTGAATGAAAACAGGACTCAAGTAAGACACAAAAGAATGTAAAACAGATTACTGTTGCGCAATGTATTAATCCGCGGTGGCTGATTTGTGGCTCCTCGGAATGGTAGTCGCGACAACCCAACCGTGGGTTGGGTAGACGGGATGTGTGACTGAGGGTTCGAACTCCGAAGAGCGGAACACGGTAGGGTTAGGGCTGGTTTGGTAGGCCAACGAAGAGCAAAGGGCCGGGGAACGAGGGTTTTAGACGAAGAGAGCGAAGCAGGAGGACGGGGTGCTGACGGGCTTGCGATCTACGAGCGATCGCTGGTTTTCGACGAGAATTGAGGTTTGATTCTGTGCGGAGATCATGAATCTCAATAGCGTGAAAAACGTAAAGCTGCCGAACGCCGGGCCTCTAGGGGCTTTGGCCAAGGTCGTTGTAATCGGAGGTGTTGGACTCTATGGAGCCATGAACAGCTTGTACAATGTGGAGGGTGGTCATCGCGCCATCGTCTTCAACCGTCTTGTGGGAATCAAGGAGGAGGTTCGGATTTCCTCATCATTTAATTTTCATTTGTTTGTAATTTGCAGTCGTCTGTGTCATGTTTGATTGAATTTTGAGTGCCGAGTGTTCCTTTTTTGTTGAACCCATTCTCCCTGAATTTCGAGCTTACAACGCGGCCATCTTGATACCAACCTTGCTGCATCACGATCGTTGACTTTGTCCTCTGATGCCTTCGGATCGGCTAAATTTCTCAGGTGTATCCCGAGGGCACTCACTTTATGATCCCCTGGTTCGAGAGACCGGTCATCTACGATGTGAGAGCGCGCCCTAACATTGTTGAGAGCACCTCAGGGAGCAGGGATTTGCAAATGGTATGCTTCAGTTCGATGCTTGAACTCTGATCAAATTTCAGTTATCAGATTTAATCTGAACGACTAGGGTTGAAGAACAATTCACTTGTGTGCTGTAAATCGTGAATTCGTTTTTGCAAGTTCATGGATTGAGTCATCCTGACGGTCTTTGTTCTGTAGGTCAGGATCACTCTTCGAGTACTGACCAGGCCTCTGCCTGATATGTTGCCAACTATTTACCGAACATTGGGTGAGAATTACGCCGATCGTGTTCTTCCGTCTATTGTTCAAGAAACTCTCAAAGCAGTTGTTGCACAGTATAATGCAAGCCAGCTGATCACGCAACGTGAGGTAAGGTTTTTACACATGATCTAGTTCAGTTCTTATCACAGTCTGCTCTTTAGTTACTTCCTTCAGCTTGATTTCATTGAAATTATATTGGTTTCCTGACTGAATGTACAGCAGTGGCGAGTGCAAATTTTGCTTCCAACGGTATGCACATGTCAAAGGAACTTCAAACCAATTTTCCTCCTTGCTTTCTTACTTCTTCACAGGTCGTGAGTCGAGAAATTCGAAGAATCTTGCATGAGAGGGCAGCAGGTTTTAATATCGCACTAGATGATGTGTCTATCACCAATCTTACCTTTGGACGCGAGTTTACCGCTGCCATCGAATCCAAGCAAGTGGCTGCCCAGGAAGCTGAGCGTGCCAAGTTTGTCGTCGAGAAGGCCGAACAGGATAAGAGAAGTGCTATCATCCGAGCACAGGTACAGCTCTAATTCATCAAGTACTTTTTGGGGATTACTGGCTGTCTTTTGGGGTTTACATCTTAACCAGTTGATTTTTTTAAAAAATCTTAATATGAAGACTAAAATATCCATGTGCTGACTCGAATCGTGTTCCACTCACTCTTCAGGGAGAAGCGAAAAGTGCCCAGTTGATTGGAGAAGCTATTTCGAGTAATCCTGCTTTTATTACCTTAAGAAAGATTGAGGCAAGTCGGGAAATTGCGAACACGGTGGCCAATTCTCAAAACAGAGTGTTCTTAAATGCGGACTCGTTGTTACTCAATTTACAAGACATGCACATCGAGGATGTGCACTTGGCTAGTCCGCAAAAGAGCAAAAAGTGAGCAAGACTGAAACTCACCACTCATTATGCAGAAAACAGCTCTCTTGGAGACTTACGAATCTTGTTTAGTCTATAGCAGGTTGGGCTCCAAGTAGAAGTGCCTATCGTTCTCCAGCCAGAGGCATTGAGGTCCAATTTTGACAGTCCACACGGTTTTTCTCATCTGTACAGCTGATATGACTTCCCTATTCATTAGCGATACCCTTTTGCTACTCAGATAAAGAAACTGCCGACAGTTGTCATAACACAGTTTGTGGGTTTCAGGTCTGTTCCTCCTACTGTCTGATTGACTTTGTTAGGTCTAGGCTGTCGAAGCATGTCACTGGCATGGGTCACATACGTGTCCACCATTCTCTCCTTGTAATCAAAATTTGAAAGAATATTTTGCTGAGTTTGGCATCCTGCTTTTGTTTGTGACAGCTAAGCGAAGTCTCGTAGCCTTGACGTCAAGGTTCTTAAAAGCAAGCTCTGCGTGAAAATTGATATTTGTCTAGAGTATGAGTTGACTTCAGTGCATAAATGTTACACCAGTTTTTATTTACTTTGGGGAGTGGTCAAGTCAGCGATGACCAGGCTTGTTTGAACCCGAGCCTGGCAAACCTCCTCATTGGTTGGTGGCAGTTCTTGTAGGTTAGCATGCAAGTTTGCTTGTATGCAAAGTGGCCCGACATTATTTAGCAAGGCTCATATTTGACTTCGCTATGAAGTTTGTCTGGCCTACCAACGTGCGTGCTTCTTGTTTCAGCATTAGTGACCCTTCAGATGTTTATTACTAAAGTAAAAGTCCCTCCGCACACTCCAAATCATATCGTTCTTTGTTTTTTGTGGTTTTGAGGAGAAACATTTGTATTTTCTTCTCTTCCTCCCATATCGCATTATCACACTATCATGAGCTGCCGCTCAAAGGTTCTCTGCCTACTTTGGCAGTTCCATTCCAGAAAGGACGCGAGAGTCTGAACAGGCAGCAGCAAAGGCATCTCTTGCCAGTGCAGACTCTTGACAACTGAGGTAGGGTCGTTTTGTCGGGTACCTATCATGTTTATATTTTGTTAGTAGATCGGTTCAGTTCATTATATGGTCCTGAGTTGGCATTGTTTTACCGGGCATGTGATAGAAGTGGGTATGATATCACAGTCTGCTCACTATTATGGTTCCTTACCTTGGTCCGTCACGGTAGACTTGCCTAATACCTCTTGCTGAGGAGATTTTATCAAGTGGATTTTGAGGATAGAATGTACTTTTCTGTCTAGTATTAAAGATGATCAAGTTATCTAAGGAAGCTTGTAAGCAGCTGAGCGGCATGGTTATGGGTGAACAAACAGGCAGGTGACCTCGTGATTATCCAAAGCAAGGGGTGGAGCAGCTCGGTTTGTCGCACGATCCTTTTCTAAGCTCGTGAAAGATTCACGCTCTTTCGGAGAAATGCTACGCTCGACGGAACTCACTTTGACATCACGTCGGAAATGAAGAGACAGTGCGGAGTTTACAGTAGAGAAGTCCAGACCATGTGGGAAGTGGAGATATGGGAAGACCACCGTATATGAAGCCACTCGATCCCGAAGATGATTGTCGGAACGCGGACGTAGACCAGACTCTATTTCACAAAAGTGGGGTTCGGCTGTCAATCGAGATCTTTCTCGGGTGGATTGTCTGTTGTTGAATACTTTTGCTGAAAGGTAGCCTGCTCACCTATATCACTCTCGAGCGTTCTCAAACACAGCAGGCTGGCTTGGCCGGTCGCATTGTATTGCAAATTTATTGAGAGCGGTGCGCTGTTAAATTTACTCATGCTGGCGTCGTCACAGGATCATTTTGGGATATTTTTCCCGGTGATGGATGCCGACGAATTAAAGTAGATTGGAAGTCACTGAAACTGTTCATTATTTCCGTGCAATGTTCAGTCCACACCGGAATTTACCTTCTCAGCCGCTCTGGATCATGTCAAGCTGTTCTGCCTCACACCGGTTCACTTGTTGACCACCTCAAGCATCTTGAACCAAACAATGGATTTTAAGACTCAAGCGAGAGGGTTTTATCTGGCAAAACTTCAGTTCTATACACTTTGTAACTAGTAATTGGTGATGCCAATGAAGCCAGGTTAATGGCCCCGAGTTTTGTTGTCGCTTTCTTTGGGCTGTAGCGTGAACACTCGCACACAGATCAATTCGTCGAAAAAAGAAAGTAATCATATCATAAATGCAACGTGGAGTGTACTTAGAGACACTGATTGTCACTTTCCTTATTGCGACATATGTTGGCGGACATAGCACAAGTTCTATGTGGACCCGAGAACATTGATTGTCTCTACAGTCCGTTAGATATATTTTCGATTGCTTGAATTCTTGTAAACTGTAAAGCCCAGCTCCTGTGCAGGTGTAATTCAGGAAGCTAACATATATTATACTGAATTATACTGCTAGGCTTGTTTGCGATGCAGAGAGCCGAGCAAGTAAGGAAAAGGGTAAAGTTTCACGGGCAGGCAGAGCATCAGTGACGCTAACAACAATCATGGCAATCTCGCAGGAGAGATTCCCAGACACACAGCACGAGTCAGTGCTTACCCGAGGGCAAAATTTCAGATCGAACCTTTGTTCAAACCTCGTCAACATGCGCTTAGGCAACAGGGGTCTGAATCTGTCAGACAATCAGGTTTACCTGTGATGTGTCCAGGCGAAGACTTGGGCGTATGTATATTCGCCGTCTAGAGAAAAGTTGGAATTGGAGACGACGAAGAGGCCGAATTCAAGTTGAAAACGGACAGAAGTCCGAACGTGTGCCATTTATATCTCAATTGATACTGTACAGATAAACGAACGTCCTATGATGTCGCTAGTCGTCAAAATTGTATTACATGGGCGTGGGAATGGAACGGTGCGGCGGGACATCGAGAACAGGGACCCCAGTCACAGTAATCTCCTGCCTCGGAAGATGGAAACCGATTCCCAGATCTTGCAGCTGTGTCTTCATATGTAATATCATATTACTCCGCCTCTGCCATCTTTCGCCAGATTCCTGCACAGGCTCAGGATAGTGTCAAGCTTAAGTCAAGGGGTTGCGCCTCGCCCCTAGCGAGCCACGAATGGTCCATGGCCAAAGTAATGTTGACATAATGATACTATTGTCTGCTATTAGGAGTGTTAAAGACTCGATTTTTTCGAACCGATTATCGTAAGAGTAACTTATGTGCAGGGCATAGAATATTATCGGGCAAACCTGATTTCTTATTTGCAGCGTTGAAATGATCAAGTTCGCAATTTTGCCCACTTTCTACTGAGGGCATAGTATTCGCTGGGCTGGACCGGGTTTAGAAATTAACGACTAGAAATAGTATTCGACGACAAAGAAAATACGTGGGGTTTGGACGCAGGAGGAGCTGTGCATACCTGGTAATTCAAATGATGTTGGACCCACAGAGCCATCTTCATGCGAGTGCTGTCCTCGATGTCCTTGCACACAATGCGGAAAACTGGATACCAGAACTGGGGCAGACTTTCGATGTACTTGGTCATACGTTCTTTCAGCAGTCCAAGTTGCTCGACTGGAGTCGTAGCATGAATTTGAAACTCGATCGAGTCCCACTGGTCTGGACTGCGATAGTAGTTGGAAATGGCCTTCGTAGCCAACACGGAGTTGGGGTAATATATTTTCTCGTTCGAGCCACTGCACATCCATCCGGTCAGTTCTTCAGATCCAGCCCACAACTGTTGCACTCACCATTGATGAGTCTCAGCCCTTCTCCCGCATGGAGCTCAAAAGAACCCAGTTTCACAAGATTATGTGATCAAGATTTAAATAACATTGTACCTGAGCAAAATGGTGTTCAGAATATTCATTTCCTGCACGCAATAGAACCAACCAAATGTCCAATGTCAAAAAAAGTGTGCTGCAGTGTATGAACCTCACCGTCCCTTCTTATTATGAAGGGTGTCTAAAGTTTATGAATCTCGAGTTCAAGCTACCAGACGTAACCAAGACTGCAATTTTAAAAATTTTCTCAAAGTCGGTCTCTCGTATAACCATCCATCCATTCATCCAGCGAGCGAGCGAGTCCACTCGGGGTAAGAATCGCTGACCGGACCAACAACTGCAGTGAGATTCAACGCATATTTCCAGACTCTGATTTCTATTGCTGGAATCTGAGAATTGCAGCTGGCGAAATGACGACTCAAATGGTAACAGACGTGAAACTTTGGGTATGATCACCTTCACAGAGCCAGTCAAAACTCCAAATGAGTCACAGGAGAAAGTATATTGAACAAGAGGAGGAGGTAAAGATTTTGGTTGTTCGTGAAGAAAAGTATATTGAATAAGAGGAGGATGATGCTTAGGTGTTAGTGTAGACCGACCTCAACAATCATGGCCATGCCATCAACACAGATGCGGTCGCCCACGTCAAAGGGATGCATCACAAACAGGAAAATCAATGATTCGAATGTGCTGCGTGCCGCGTTTCCAAACACAAATACCGACGGAAGCAAAACTGAGGAGAAGCCCACGATGAGCTTCTGCGTGTTAACTCCCATAATGAGAAAGCAAATCGTGATCGCCACCGCAAGCAACAACTACACCATGCGCACAACGAGACAAGACCATCAGCGTATCAGCAGTATCCAACGAGACGAACTGGTCAGACCCATCGAGATTCGTTAACGACAACCACGAAGTATTCTACATGCACAATGCAGATATGCTGAATGCTGTGGGATGCAAATGCTTGAACCTGGAGACTACTGGTGCAGCGCTAGCAGAAGAGGACTTCACAAACCGATGCTGAATTTCAGGACTTGGGGACTAGATCCTGCGGTATGCAGTCAGATCGATGCATTGTCTGAATGGAAACGCAGAGATCCTTTTCACATACCACGTCCAACACTCGATGCAGCTTAGCTACAACAGTTCGGTTGTCGCTAAGGGTGAGAGCCAGAGCTCGGCGCTCCTTGTATATATTCACAACCCACTTCATCAAAGCTTTTTTGGTAATATGTCCTAAATCGTTCACTTCAAAGAGCCCAAAAGCTCTCGTTGCTTGATCCTCCGGTAGAAAGTAGAGGAAGTCAGTCAGAGTCAGGAACTTCTCTCCTGGTCTGGCAATGTTGTAGAATATCTGCACATGATCATTACAGGACTGAGCACAATGGAGTTCTACGATCAGAATCGCTAACCTACGCCAAACAAAGCCAAACGATTCTAAACCAGGTGAGGGCAAATGAATCGACAGTGAAAGAGGTCCATGGTCCGAGGTACCTGCTTAGCCGCGGCTTTGGCCATAGCTTCGCTATCAATCTTTTCTCCAGCTTCTTGATCTAACATCGAAGAAAATGTGGCAATATTTGTTTTCCGGATCATCTTCATCAGCTTCTTCATTGTCCATGCTGAAACAGTCTGAACAGACAACGTTTAGGAGCACCAAAACTGCACCATCTGAGCTCATCACAGCAACTAAAATCCTTGACAAGTTCAAGCTTAAACGAAAGTCCCGTGGCTGATTCAACGCAATCAGAGACTGGAGATGGATTCCTACCTCGGAGGTCAGTTCCTGCAGCTTTTCTTGCTGGATGGGCGAAGTGCTGCGGGCCAAGATCGTGCCTCCGTCAGAAGTGTTCATCAGAACGCTGACGCGTCGGAGGCGGCCGCTGGGACTCAGAACCTGCGAAGGTTGAGCATACGGGGCTCCTGCGCCCATGGTGGCCCTGCTTGGCGCCCTCAGATTGCTGCGGCTGGGCGAAGCCATGCCCAAGTTGCTGCGACTGGGCGAAGCAAGGCTGGAGGCCAGGTTCGATCTGCTCGGACCAGAGGCCAGATGGCTGGCGCGTTCGCTTTCTCGTTGCGTTTCCGGCACCACAGCCGCACCATAGTTGGGCTGCTGCTCGTGCATGGTCGGCAATCGGGACGAGGACGAAGACGATGGCTGCAGGTCCTGCTGGACCGGAGGCAAATTCGACGGCAAATGCGGCTCGTGCGATCGTCCGGCCTGCGAGTCGACTGCGTCCCAGTGGCTGTAATCCGTTTCCTGGCTGCGAGGGGCGGAGAGAGTTTCCAGCACGTACTGATGGAACAGGCAATCCTGAACTCTGTCAAAATACGCAGCGCGGTGGAAGCTGTTGGCTGCCACTTTCACGGCCAGAATCTTCACCATCCACAGACACGCTGTTGTGAAAAGGCACCATAACACCTGAGTCAAGCAGAAGACGACTCTCGCTGATTCAGAGGAAGTTCTATCAGCCTTCAATCAGTCAGACATTCAAGTGGAATACTCATTTTCCTTGTGATGGAGGGAGGGGAGAACAGATGCCTACTTTGGTGACGATGGGAATGTTTCCTTTGGATTCCACATGTCTGAACACGAGCTTCCACACGCCAATGACGAGCGCCAACCAGACCACGTTCTTCACAGCATGCCTAAGCCCGTACACGAAGTAGAGGACTCGTTTCTTCAGAATGTAGTGACGTTCTATCAGGGCCACCAGTATCTTCAACCAGTAACACACATTTTCATTATATTGCCCACTTAACAACAACAGAAGGCCTGTGTGTCACTTCAATCCTGATCCCTGGGCCACAGGGCCACTGCGGCAGGCATGAGTTGTTCTTTGGAGCGCGAATTCCCGGTACAGTATTTGATTATTTGCAGAATGGTGCTTGAACGCATGTCCGCTCATGACGACGATGACACTTGACAAAATGCGTCTACTTGTAGAAACGCTAGATTCTAAGACCGGCAGAGCAGGCCAATATTCAAAGTCTCGCCAACACAACGTGAAAGCGCTTCCGAGCTGATTGATCCTTTCCTCAGTAACCTGTGTACTGGCACACGGTTCTTACGTTTCGACCTTTGCGGACGCATTAGCCCTTGCCATGGGTTGACCTTGGAAGTCCAAATGCCAGTTGAAGATGCAAATGAACCTCTCCGGTGTAAGAGATCGTTCGAGCAAGCATTGTTGCAGTGGAAGGAAATTATAAGATGCAGACAGATTGACAACTCATGACGCCTCCTCACAGGGACATTCGAATTCAGTGATTATTGTTACAAAGCATGGCACCACTTCCGGTTGGCAGTATACTGGTTCGTTAATTAATGCATGGGAGCGAGAGGAACCACGGTCGTGGCCACACGCAGACTCGACGGGACTGGCAACATGGTCGAGCTGCTTACCATGACCAACCAGCCAGCAATGAGACGGCCCGAAATGATGACGGTCGCAAGAGCAAGCCACTGCCAGAGCTGGATCTCTTTCCACACCACCAGCTGCAGCTTATTCATCTTGATGGCCAGAATCATGACGAGAATCAAAATGAAGAGGCCGATCCATTGGATCCACACAAGCCACCGGCGCTCCTTGGATTTGAGCTTCTTGTAATTCGGAATCGAGTCGTCGTCCAGGGGATCGACCTCCTCCTCGGGGGGCGGCTGCACGAGGTTGGCTTTGGACTTGGACAGCAGCCCGAGCCGCGACGGCGAGAACATGACGGACGGCGAGAACATGCCCAGCCGCGACGGCGCGGCGGCAGGCGGCGCAGGGCTGGGGCTCCCGGCGGCAGCCGCGACGGCCGCGGCATCCGTCACGCTCATGGTCACGGACTTGCGACTGCCGCGCGACGTCAGCATCGGCTCGCCGTCGAAGTTGTTCATGGTCGACGACACGCGGCGGCTGGTCACGGGGCCGAACCGGGCAGCCTGCCCGTCGTCCTCCACGGGCTGGTGGATCAGGGAGCCGCGCCGGCTGCTTCGGCCGGCGTCGGACCAGATGCTGGCGATCTGGTCCGACACGGCGGGCGTCATGGGCGGCGGGTCCTGCAGCCGCGTTTTCGTCTTCTGTCGGGCGAAGGTCGGGCGCGGCGGCTTGCGCCGGCAGGTGAGCGGGGGCCCCTGGTCGCCCGCGCCGAGCTCCTGCGGCGACTGCGACTGCGACTGCCCCTGGTCGCCATCGCCGGGCGCCTGCAGCCCGGGCGCGTCGGGCGGCTCGGGGCCCGTTGGCGAGGGCGGCAGCGTCAGCGTCAGCTCGCTCAGGTGCATGAGCTTGGCCCGGTAGTCATTCCGGTTGCGCACGAACGGCGGGGCGAAGACCGGCGGCGGGTCCGGGGGCTTCTCCGGCTCGGGCAGCGGGCCGCCCGACTCGAACTTGAAGGAATCGTCGGCCTCGAAGTCCCAACTGCTGCGCTCCTTCTTAACGGGCCTGGGCCCGTCGTCCTCCGACGGGTCGCCGGTGCGAAGCGCGCTCTGCTCCGCGTCTCCCACGCGCCCATTCCTTCGCGGCTCGAGCTCGAGCCCCGATTGCGCCTCCATGTCCTCGACCTCGACCTCGACCGCCTTGCCATCCTCTCTCTGCGCCTGCGCCTCGTTCTGCTGCTGCGGCTGCTGCTGATCCTTCTTGCTGGTGCTGCCTTGGGGATGGTTGGCACTCGTCGACGCCGCGCTGCCGCTCGAAGCTCGCTGGCTCTCGATGTCATCTTCCATGCCGCCTGCGTCGCCCGTCTCCTGAGCAGAAGAAGACTGCCCCTCGGGGCCTCCATGGTGCTCCTCATCTTCGGGAATGGGATCCGTCAACGCATCTGCGTGCATCATCATCATCAACGCTCCATCAGTTACATTCTCTCGGCTGCGTTTTCTTCACTCTAGTAACGCCTCGACCGGTTCGAGTTGTTACGAGCGCTCTATTAATCTGTTCCGTCTTCGCAGATTCATGTGCTCTCTCTCTCTCTCTCTCGCCGAGGCTGATTGCGTCGAGAGGATGTGCGTGTGGGTGTGGGGTCAAATTATGTCGCTCGCTCTATGGCCACGGAAGCTTACTCAGCTTAGAGTCAAGTAATTGTGGCACACGCATGAGAGTGGGAAGTACTACGGCACCTGAGGGATCAATGAAAAGCTTCCTCTTCCACTTCGGCGGAAGGCTTGCCTTCGAGGTTGGTTTGTCTGGCTCGCTCATGTCGGTCCGAATCATGCGGGAATGTCAGTCGTTGCGACATGATCCCCGAGCAAGACATGTCGTCGGCCACGGAGGGTTGTCGGAGGAAGCTCAACCATCTCAACGAGACAGATTGATTGCCTCAAGACGATGGCCCTACTGGATTGCTTGAGTTGGTTGTCGTTGGGTCAGCGTTGATCCAAATAGGTTATGGGGCTCAAACAGGGCGATCGAGATTCTTAGGCCTCGACCCTTTCCAGCGGGAGCAAGACCATGTTGCCCCGCTACCGTGGATGAAGAGAGCCTCCCCCACAACCTCTGAGGTTGCTCGATTTGAGGTCTTTCCTCAATTCTACTTCCAAAGCTTGTAGGCTAAGCATGGAACATTCGGAAGAGACGCATCGTGAATGGTTGTCACCCCTTAGCTCAAGATGAACCTTATGTTCAGGGCATCCCTGCTCCAGGGATTGGAGCACAATTCTCTGTCATTCGAGGAAACATTGACAGTCGTGCGACATGAATGCGGGGACCACAACAGAAGCAAGACTTTCATGGCATGTACCTTCTCATGTCTGATAACCGATCAACTCATAACGCTTGCCATGGACAGACACTGGAGAAATGCGTGTACCTGCAAACTCGCGCAGAATGCCGAACATATTTCAGCCCTGATGTCTATCCCCTCTCCATCCAGATTTCCTCCTCCGTTTCGACCGTTCTCGCCATCGCGCCAACAATTCGTAACTGACACCGAGCATCTCCTTCGAATTCTATGCCGCCTGGTTCTGCTCCTCCTCCTCCTCGTCGTGCCCCTGTCCTCACATTTCCCACACGTCTCGCCTCGTCCTCCTCCGCATCCGAATTCTCCCGTCGATCGATCGATCGATCGACCCTCAGCCTCGGCCTCGACCTCGACCTCGACCGCGCTTATTCTCCGAGTCGCACCAAATTTCAAACCCTCGCTGCCATTCGCAATTCCATTCTCACTCTCGCTTCCCATTCCAAATCGCGCTTCCCCGATCGATCCCCGTTCCAGTTGTTTCTCGCGACGACCGTTAAAAAAAAGCCATTTCCATGTCCTGTGACATCTTTCTTCTCTAGAACATCTGTTTACAAGAACTGAGTTCCCGCATGTCAGCGTATCACGTACACGACCACAGTACCATACAGTGACCATTTCAGACGAAATCATAATGATAGACGCCGCATCTACTTGCTACGTGGTACGCATTATCTGACAGGGGGCTCCGTGGGTACCTCGTTATGTGTGACTCAAGCACAAGGTTCATGCGACGACCGGGTTTGGACATTACTACGTTAGTGCGAAAAATCCTAGAAAGAAGAACAGCGTTCTATTTCTTTTGCGCTTACCCCACCTGAGGCCTGCTATTTAACCCAGGTTTTACTTCATCATGGTTACTTTAATCTACGGTGGAACCAAACAGGAAAGACTACTGGACGACCTCCATCTTTGGCGATTGAGTTGAATAGATGTGTCCGACTGTAAGATTCTCTCTCAGTCCCCTGTTCACGTCGACTTTCACATGTTTTGAGGGGAGAGACCAAGAAATATGTTTGGGGATGAAAAGAATTGGTGCACCTTGGAATGTCCTCGGTGCCAAATATCTGCGCTCATAGTTTTCATGCATCGCATAAGTTTTATTATCTTGTGTTTTTCACTCTGATGTTTATTTGTGATGATCGTATTGTCTTCAACAACAATGAGTTAATCTTCAGTTTGATTTTGATTGTATTGTGTCTCAATGTACATGCAGACTTGAACTGGAAGTCATCAATGCGCCCCCCTATTTTGTTAAAAGTCTTTACTTCCAAATGATGAGAGTCAGATGTTGCGGGCTATTGTGATGTTTTGTATTTACATTTCAAATTTGTGATTATTGGTTAAATTTCATTTCAAGAATAATTTTGATTAGAACTTACAAGATTAAATCAGAGTTTTCATTTTCAATACCTTCTGTTTTTTCCCTGTTCTATTCTACAACCAATTTGGCTCAATGAAAAATTAAGGAGGGGAAATCCATGGTATGGCTTTGCTTAATTTTATTTTTATTTTCACAATTATATAGCAATAGATAACCATCATATTTGTGTTATTTCATCATAACATGATCTAGATGATGTTCAATGTGCAATTGAAGTATATAGTTATGTAGGAGTTGCATGTCACACAAGAGATATTTCAAATTCTTCCACTTCATAGATCATTTTATTCCATTCTATTTTTTACATGCATATTTAACATTTTGCAATCTTCACAATGACATGATACGGTAGAACTTGTCTAGAGTAATACTGCCTAAATTATTAACTTGTGATAATTGATATTTTTGATCTAGTTCCAAGTTGGGCCCATACATTTATTAATAAATCTCCAAAAGTTAATGATTAATACAATAGTAACAATTTGTCATAGTTGTTATCAATATAAAAAATATTCGAGAGTGCTTGTGGAGTACAAATTATAAAAATTGTTCCTTGAATTACAGGCTTGAAGCCACCTGATCAAGTTTGCTTGTGTGTGCGATGGATGCTTCTTCTTGTGGTTACAAAAAACTATTAGAACCTCTTGATCAAGTCTGCTTGCGTGACCGGAGGATTTTTTAAACAGAGAATTTTTTATTGATACTCTTTTTATTAATATACTGTCAAATTTAATAAAGAACCCCTGGTCCCTACAGTATTAACTTAGACAAGTTCTATAGTAGTTGTACGCAGATAATTCTGAATCAAAGCATGTTCTATGAATGTGAGTCTCGTACAAATGATTGTGTGTTTACTGTGCATCATAGATGCAAATGCATAGTACGCTTGGTTTTATCATACAAATTCTTTAAATATTTATCTGTTAATTTTTTTTAATCATTTGTGATTTTTTTATACTTTGTTTCAGGATTTAAGTATACAAGACCTCAAAATTGTATGATATCATCAACATGTCAAAAACATGAAATCATTAATGTAAAAACAATTCTAATCATGCATTTTACACATCTTGATCGTAAGATGCATGATAAGACCTTCATTTCTTAAAATCAATTTCATTATTGATTTAAGATAATATAAGTGTTTATTAAGAAAATTTAAAAATCATTCAAAAATTTCATTTGCCATGGAAAAAAATGTGCTGAAATTTTCATAGTGTAATGATTTTTTCATCAATATTTAATTTTTTTTACAAATAACATCCAACTTGTTGAGGTTAACTACTTGATCCTAGCTAAGTTTAGTTAGGAAGCGTCGTATGTGCCTAGGTATTTAACCCAAGAGTATTTTGCATCATCGACATTTCTTGTGATTGTTATACGTGTGCGTGAATTTTCTAGAAATGTAGAATTCTGTGGTGAACCACTTTACTTTGTTGTGTTGAACTATTTGTGATTCTTGGTCAATATTTTGAAGTTGTGTTAAAGGCTAATGCAATTTCAAGATTTAAAAGGATAAAAATTGTATGAACTGTCAATTTGAATTCAAAATTTGAGCATAAAAACTTCTTTAAAATTTATTTAAATCAAATATGAAAATTTTTATAAGTTTTTTGAATTTATCCAATCAATGAAAATTATTATTATTTTTAGAAAATTTTTATCTTTTTTTAATACAAACATGATTTACATGGTTTTCAATATTTTACATGTAAAATTTAACATAAAATATTTATCATGGATAGTTTATATGTTACATCTCATGTAATAATTGTGATATTATATCTATTTTACATAAATTTATACATTTGGTTGATCATTTAATTTTTTTTAAATATATCACAAATTCAGGTGATTAGAAAAAAAAATAACTTTCAAAATTTATATAAATTTCAATGAAAAGAATTTATTTGAGCATATTTTATTTCATAATTATAATTATCATAACAACATTTAACTATTTAACAACATCATTATTCGTCTTATAAATAATCATGATATGTAAAAAAAAATTGATATGATTTTTAGTGTTATTATTATCTGGAAATTTTATTATTATCAATATATTTTATAAGCTGTATATATGCATATGTTTATTTCAAATAATTTTCAAAATTTATGATACATACTATTAAATAATCTGTTTGGAAATACGCTTGTTGTAATGAAGTAGCAACAACATAGTATCATTGCGTACATGCAAGTTAAATAAAATTATGATTTGAATGATAATTAGGATAGAAACTTAATCAAGTTATTTTGAAAGTTTGATTCAAAATTGGACAGAAGTGTTGTATGGATGTAACAGTTTTTATTAATTAATTGTCTACAACATATCAATAAATATATTTTAATTTTCATGAATAATAGTAATTTAAAATTCTAGATGTTGATAATGCACGGTCAATAATCTATCAATACATCATACATATAAAAGTGAGAGATTTTATTCATGAAATCACTAATCAAGATTATTGGTCATTTGATAGAGAGATCCTATTCTAATCATATTTTGGTACGTACTTGATTAATTGTCTTTGAATAATAAAAATTATTATTTCATTATTCAACCATACTCTATTTCTAATTTATTTATCTAATTTGAAAATATTGACCAAATTATAAAAGATAAACAAAGTATTATATATTTTATTTATCACATATTTTATAGTTTGTAATGCATAATCATTTGTAGCTTTAAATATTCAGTTTTCAATTAAGATTTCCATGGAATATGTAATATCAACAGAATCAACATATACCAATATATTGAAGGTGTATAAGCTTGAGGATTTCCTCGTTGTTATACCACCATCTTCAATTTAATTCTTTTGGGAGCTGATATCATAGTTTGTACTTACGTAGAGCTCTGTTTGATTTTCCATCAAAAGATAAGAATTATTTTATATTTCCAATCAAGTTTAACCACGCGCATAAATTCTCTTCGAAAGACTTTAAAAAGGTGTCTTTTTTTACCAATATCAACATGAATTTTCATTAGATAGATATGAAGTGATTTTGTGCTCCATGGAAATCCATAATGAAGGGGACTCGACGTAATTAGGTATGTTCTTACCTAGAGCGTAAAAGACAGCTAATTTTCTTAACATCCCGTAAGCCTTGTCATAATCGTCATATGATAAAATATCCAAAACTAATTAGGCATATGCTGGTCATCATGAAGCATCGTTGATCTAGCAGTAACTACACTGTCTCCCTGCAAACTTAAGAACGGTGTTAGGTCTGAGCTAGAATCTCATAGTTTTTTTCATGTTTTCTGCTGTTATAATCTCAAAGATTTTATGCGAAATGTTTGATTATGTAGATCACGGAGTTATTAATTATGATTTAAAACAATTCAGTACGTATCATTGTGAAAATTACACTAATTTGAAAAAAAAGCTTATGATGAAACAAATCCATTTTATCTGCATCCACTGCATATATATATATATATATATATATATATACAGTGCTTTAATACATTCACAAGCGTATGCATATAAGTGCAAACAAGCATTACATGTGGGAGAAATTTATCACGTCATCAGAAAAAGCACCAAATTCCTATTAAATATGAAATGTGAACGATAGCGACATTTATGGAAATAGTGGCGTTGGCTAGCGCTGCAGAAGAGAGGACAAAACAAAGAGAGCAAAGGGGCAACGAAGAAGGAGGGAGAGAGGAAGGAAGGAAAGTAAGAAAGAAAGAAAGAAAGCCCTAAACTGGCACCAAACGGAGAGTGGACTGCCATTTGTGCTGAAGAGTTCTCGAGTCGAGGCCTTCTCTGATGAGCTGTATGCTACAAATTGTCTAGCGCTCGGGCGATCGGTGATCGGTGCAGGGAAGAGGGTCGCATCTTGACTCACAGCTCTCTTCGATCGATCGAATTGCCGACTGACTGATTGGCTGACGACCATGGCAGGCGCGGGGCGAACCAAGCTTTCGCAGCTTCTCCGGGTAAGGAGGTCTCGTCTCGTCTCGTCTAGGCCCTCGGAATGTCTTGGAGGGAAGTTGCTACGAATGGAGAATAATGGATCAGCAGCAATTCAGCTTGGAATTCTGTGCTGGAGTTTGCCTTTTTAAGAATTTTCGATCGCAGTGATCGTCGCATTGTTCTAAAGTTCTATACTTTCTCGATCGGTCGTTCGCTTGTTTACGAGGTGGTGAGGATGGACATTGTCGAGGATTGAGATTCATATGGCTTAGGTTTTATTGTTTTTGGGTGTATCTGTGGGGCGTGTTACAGACGAGAGCTGCATCTTTTTTGCCTACCGCCTCGAGGGGATATTCTGCGGCTGGTCAAGGTAAGCCATCGAGTTCGTAAAATTGGAGTAGAGTTTTCTAGATTTTGCCGAAATCCCTAGTACAAAAAAGTGTATCAAGGCTTGAGGTTGTGGCAGTCGTGGCGATTGTTAGAAGCTTCGTGCAGAATGTCTTCTTGACATACGCACCCAATTATCCTGCTTCCAGGTAGTGGATAGGTAACAGAGACTGTTCCATATCAGTGGAGCATTACGGTCATGATTGTTGTTGTTGTTGCTGCTGCTGCAGATGACGTTGTGAAGCAGGCCTTCGTTACTCAGCAGACAAAATTCAGAGCTTTCCTGGGAGAACTGGCTAAAGTTAAGATCACTCTCGATTCCGATGACCAAAAGGCCGTGAAGGAGTATGCCACGACCATGAAGAGCATCCGGACCAAGTGAGAAGGCTTATCACATGTCATAGTTTATATTTAGGTTCAGTGCAGAGGGTAGAGGTTTTTTTTTCAATTTCCGAGGTCATGCTTAAAGTCGAGTGAAGTCTCACGCTATCCAATCTGCAGGCTTGCCATACCCTCATACACCGAGAAGATAGCTGACTTGCTTGACTCAGCTGGAGATGATGCCACTGATGTCCGATCGTACTTGGAAACTCTAACTCGCCTACGCTCGGAGTGAGTTAGTCCAATCTTACTTGTGATATTTAATGTTTTGGAGAGTGTGATTCACGGCGGTACATTAATATTGACCTTGATGTCCGTTTCGTATGTTAGTCATGCTGTAGAGAAGAGTTTACCTTCATGTAAGTTAGGGGCTTGACGTAACTACTTTCTTGCAAATATTGACAGGGTTGGCATCCAAGATGATCTCGGCGCAGACAAGCTGACCATGCAGGCTCTTGATAAAGTTGAGAAAAGTCTGGGGAAGCCATTGCTTCTGGATGATAAACAAGGTCTCACTTTGCTGAGCAAGGAAATTGACGAGATAAACAAGAAGTAAGTTTCGAGAGTAATGCTCCGAGTAACTGCATCCATATGGATTTTTTTGCAATTGCCCATAGAGTGTTTATTGCTAAAGATTGTCTCCGTCAACGAATCAAAATGGTGATTTTTTGGTTAGTCCTAGGGTGAAATAGGAGGAGTACGTACGTTCAGCAGTTTTCTCTGCTTATCTTTTGCAATCGCTTTGAGAAGAATAACTCCTAAAGCGGATATCTTCGACCTAGCTTAGATTCCGTTTTGAACCTAGAACAGTCTGTATTTGCATGATCTTGTTCGTAGGAACTCTGGTGAATTGATTCCATAATTTCTTTCTTGTAGATTGGGTTTGGACGAGGCTCTCTTGGAGAAATTGGAGGAAGAAGTTGAGATGGCAGTTGCAAAGGGTGAACTTGAGGAAATCACTAAAGAGGCCAGAGAGAAGATTGAGACCTACAAGCGCAGGTGAGAATTCCTGTCTTCAATCTGAATGTAAATTGGAATGTTTGCAAGTAGGAGCGAAATTTTTTCTAGTTTCTTTGAAATTTGTGTAACTTCGTCGATATTAAAGCGGTATGTTATCAACATGTAATTGTACTGTAGTGACCTAAGTACTTTTCGTGTTTAAGTGTTCGTGTGTTTCCGGAGATACATCGTATAGTTGATCCGACATTTCATTGTTGCTCTAGGTTATAGAAATTTTATGCGATATCAGTACGTTGTCATTATTGTTTCTTTATATGAATAGTAGAGAGAAAAGAACATTTCTTGTGCCACGATGTTGGGTGAAAGATCGACGAGGGGAATATCACTGGAAAATCCCCGACATTTTCACTTGTTTTTGAAACAGAAATGTTGTCACAAATGATTCTGTATTTATGAACCACAACTATCTTTTCGCAGTCGAACTTAATGTTTGATATATACCCGGTGATACTGGCTCACAATACTGTTGACTTTGCTGCTTGTTCGTGCAGGGATGAGCTTGACACACTTGTAGTGGACCCCAAGGAGTTGGATTATCGCCAATACCTGTGAAAATGTGCTTGGAAGACTGCGTTTGTACTGGACCTCACGAGGCTTTTCGCTCTCGTGGAAAAAACACCTCATTCCCCCGAGACTTATTTTACCAGTAGACAAGGATTCTCTTCTGGTGAAGGTTGAAAATGTTTGCTAACTTGTAATTAAGGTAACGTGCCCAGCGACGTAGCCAGGATTCAAATTCTGCGAATTCTATCTGATACAAAGAGGCCAGACAGGCATTGTTCGTGCTGATCTCTTCTAAGAGGCTGATCAGAATTTTTGTGGCAAGAGGTAGAGCTTCATACTTATTTATACTGGCTCTGGCAAAAACGATATGGAGTTTGAAGTTGGAAAATACAGCTCTGATTGACACAGTGAGGATTGTGGCACTTTAAGTTGACTCTTTGTCTGGCTGTGCTCTTTTGACCGTCTCCGAATAAACGTAGAAGCGTATGTCTTGTGACATGTTGTAACACAACCGTGTAGCATGTTGTCCGAAGACACTTGCATATTTATTGATTAGTTATGACATAGATTCGCATGGTGTTCAAAGTTGGAATAAACTTTGGTACCTCTGAAATGTGTGTGCAACTCTGGTGATGGACATTTTGCAGATGATTGCACCTATGTTTGTCAGGCCATCTCAGGCCATCTCGTGTGAATGCTAGGTGATAGTTTGTTGTTTATAGAGTGGCTCCTTTACCATTTGTTCCCTCACGAGTGAGCTTGATTCACAAACGCAAGTAGAAGATAGGAAGTACTAGATTATCAGGACTGCATGCACAAGATTTCAACCTGATGTGATTTAAATTTTCTGTCTTCCTACCGTGCCAGAATGCTGCAGTGCTCATATCATCTACTTTTTACTAAGACTCCCACGAGCTTTATGTACTGTAAATAATTCTTATCTCCATCGCTCTAGAAGATTAGATGTGAGATTAAGAAACGCGACTTTCCTGACGTAGTTGATCGACACAGATGTATCACGTACCATGTGGAGAGAGAGATAAAAATCTCCAAGTAGATGTTGCTAAGATTACACTCAACCTGCTCAACTTGCTCAAGATAACGGTGTATTGCGTCTTCGAAACACAAACACCGGCACGATGTGACTTTTATTTTCGAATGCTCACTTATCTCTTCCAGATACCACATAGCAGTATGGAGCATGCGACGTCCTGACGTCTAATGCTAGTGTTACGAGTCGTGATCTGTACATATTAAACCCGAGTATTATATATAGTATAATACAGTATAATACAGGACTTCAAAAGTCCATCTGTATTTTACTGTATTAAATCGACTTGAATTTTCGAAAGACTGTGAATGATTTTTGCGTCAGAATTTCTGGTGATCTTGGCGCTGTTACTCTTCTCCGTCCGTTCCCTTCGATTCTTTCTCTTACGACATTGCTAAGTACCTCTAGAATTCTTCCTGGTAGAAACAAATAATCTCATAACCCGGTCATCGTACTTTTCAACATCTGTTGGTAGGAAAAGAAGTTTAATCATTGAATTTGCCATCCCTCGGCGCAGTATAGAAGTTTCTTGTAACGCTAAGTACCTCTAGAATTCTTCCTGGTAGAAACAAATAATCTCATAACCCGGTCATCGTACTTTTCAACATCTGCTGGTAGGAAAAGAAGTTTAATCATTGAATTTGCCATCCCTCGGCGCAGTATAGAAGTTTCTTGTAACACTATGACGAGCAACCAAATTGATTTTACTTGTTTGCATGACTCTAGTCTTCTTTGTAGTGCTTGTGAGGGGAGACACGTGTCGACATCACAGGATTAAACGGAGAAATGTAACATCTCAGTCGTTAGATCATTGTACAGAGTCAATTGTGTATAATACTATATAATACAATATTAAACTCACCAAAATTCGAAGCTAAGTATTATACATAACCCTAGTTACTACATAAGAATGTTGTAACACTAGCCTGTACGGATGATAGAGTGGGGTGTAAGCCTAGGCAATGTAATAGGGTAAGGTATGGGCCTCTAACTTTACCCTACACGTAACACTATGGTCTACCTTTAACCTTTACCTCAGGATAAAATTTAATTTAATTATTTAATTTAAAAAGTTTTAGTTTTGGATGCATCATAAAAGATTCCATTGGGGTATGCGGTTTTTGGTTTTCTTTGAATGCGATTTTTATGCTACATGTTGATCTTCTATCTGTTGTCATGAATAACCGCTTCCTTTGGTACTGGGACATGAATTGGAATGTTGCCAATGAATCATATACTTAGTACTTCTAAGTTTCTTCTTCACTTCCTATTTAGCATTAGTGCTTGAGAGAGAGTGTGTAAAACAAAGATAGAGGAGAGAGAATACCGCAATCATGAGAAACATGAATTATTTTGTTATATGCAGTACAAAGAAAGGACTGAACTCTATAACCATTAGAAGTGGCTTTCCTCCATTTTAGATACTAAATTATCTCATTTTGACCGAAAATTTTCAATCCAAGTGGAACCCATTTTCATGTGGTTCACTCGGATGGAGGTAAAGTTGAAATCTCCTTCACTCGACCATACGATTCAAGTCGAACCCTAGCCATGCTGACTCTTAACGTTGACAAGAGGTATATATTCTTTAGTTTTTTTTTATTTCAGATCTAATTAGAATAAAAAACAGGCAGAAGATCTATGCATTATAACTGAGCCGAACAACTACTCAAGCCAACGCTATTATGACTTCTATTGAAAGACCTTGTCGTCAGATTACAAAACTGCAGCAAGTGATGGCTTTCCTACTCAAAGTAGTAACATCATGCAGTGTCCTGCAAATTTAGCTTCACCGACCACACTATAGTTTGAAAGAGTTGAATAAGTTCCCTCACTTCATCGCACAATTTTGTTGAATCTGGTTGTAGGTTTGTTCACGGAGAATAAGCAGAAGAATGTCCATATTTTTTTTTCACGGATTACCAGGTAACCCTTGAGGTTCTACCTTTACGTTACCCTATAGCCCAATGTATTACCTTTACCTTCTTAAATTCTTCTTACGTTACCTTGCCGAGTCTTAGTGGGGTGCTACAAAGCTTGAGGGCCTTTTCACCTGGCAACTATGCATCTGAAGGGCTGGTAGGTTTTATGTGTAGAGTTATTTGAATGTTGTGGCGATTTCTTACGTTTTAAGGCCTTCGAAATATATGGCTTTTGAAAGTGGGCTCACAATTTTTAGTTAGTCTAAACCGGTAAGAGAATGTGGTCATTTTACTTTCCCAGCCGATCCCGTAAACAGCAAGGTAGAATCCTACAAATGGCTTTCTTTCCTTTTCATTTCCAGCAGCTAGTTTATCCTGCCCGATGATATCCGCAATATTATTTTTTTGGGTTCATTAGCGACAGGTTTTCTTCTACTAATATTTTCCGATTGTTTTACTTCCCTTCCTGTTTCCGCCTGTTTTGGTTCTCTTCCCAGAATCTGGCCATTCTTTTCCCACCATAATTAAAAAATTATGTACAAATTACTAGAGAGTCGACAATTAGACCCTGTATCTCAATATGCCCGTTGCCCTTCTTTTCTAGACTTTGAGTGTCTAATGTTTCTTATATTATAGATTGTGCTTACAAATTTTTAGGTTTCAACCACTGATGTAAAATGAAAGTGAATAGACAGCTGTTAAATGATGATAAATAACCACTGATGTGCCATTGTTTTCGTAACCAATAACATTTACATATGGTCTGAAAAACAAGACCAAGTCATCATTTCTCAACCTAATACTAATAACTAATAAATTAAATTAACTTAAATTAAGTAAATTAAATTAACTTATTAAGTGTAGTTAAGAGGTGGATAATGATCAAACATAACTCTCTAGATATGGATTTCAAACCAAACATGATAATGAGCTACATGTTATCCTACGCTATCTATTCCCCTTACTACTTCCTGTCTCACTTTGACTTGTTAGAGTCCCTCCCCAACAGCAATATATCTCTTCGTTTTTCTGTTTCTGTGCACATCAGTGAAATAAATATGTATGTGCCCCTTGCACAACCATGCTTACTTCCATTAGGCACTTGTAAAGACAATTGCATGCAGGTTTGGGTAACATATATATGGTGAATGGTATGGTTTCATGGATTGATTTACATCCTCTTGATCACTGAGCTTCTTTATTGCCTTATTATTTTGCTCCTTCGAAATTCGTATGTTCTTCTCTAGGCAAGGCATGTCACTCAGTAAACATGCCATGATTAATTTCGAAAAAAAGAATACATTTTTGTTTTGTGCATATTTGTTTGTGCAATAAACTCAACACAAATGTAGTAACATGGTGTGGCTTGCGTGACTGGATAGCCAGTAATACACATTTCGATCACAAACCCAACCATCCTCGCTTAGAACTTTTGGTATGAAAGAGAGTAGAACCGCTGAACATATAGTTTTCATTAAGGGTGAAGTTGTGAATGACATCAACGAAAACAGGGCTTAAGTTTCACTGCATATAATTCATACAGTGAAACTTATTCAAACTACATACACTCTACAAACTTTTCACAGAAAAAAGGCCTATAATTGGAATTTTTCCGCTTGATTTAGATAACAATACGACTTCTCTTCAAGTAAAATGGTCCCATCCTTAGATTATACAAAGTCTGAATCTCAAGATCATATGAACCCTTTAGATTCTTGGATTAGAAAAGAAGTTGAAGGAGCCCCGTTTCCTCACATGCTGCAATACTCCTTGGGCTTGCCATTCAAGGATAATGTGATACTTTGTATCAAACATCTATCGCCGAGAACAACATTGCTTCTTAAAAGGGGCACATTGAAAATCCGAATTATAAAACAAAATAACACCAGCATGAAACGTGGTATTGTCTCAGGTCATTCCGGGTAACTGGCTTTTGAACCTCTCAGGGGGTGTTAGATGCGGGAGAAGGATAGGCAACCTCATTAGTATGCTCCCTTGTCAAGATTATCGTTGTATGTAGACGACATGCTTTAGATCTAAATATTTCTAAATAATTCAAGTACACTAAAACTTTCGAACACTTTTCTTGATAGGAGTAGATGGTAGCCAACAAGTACTGTTCACAGAATAAATAACTGATGACCAGTTACAAAGCAAAACTAGCTCTGAACCATTGCGTTCTCAAATCTAAGCCAATTCATTGAGCTAATATTTCACGACAGGTTGTAAGACAACTTGTTCTATACTGTTTCATCCCTATAGCCAATTAGAAACAGCGATAGGGATTGAATTCTCTCTCTATTCCACTTAAAAGTATTAGTCAACTGAGAATTAGACGTGGCACTTTCGCATACACCTTGCAATTGGATAGAATTCTCCATCCTTATCCTCATTCCCTTTACATACTCGGGTTCAAATCGGGCCCTAGGTTGCTCTTACGCTCTCGCAGCCGGAGACGGTAATCGAAATAAAATGGACGATGAAGCTTTGTAAATGCGTCATCTAAGGTCAAAGACTCTGCAGCGGACAAAGGCTTTGTAAAATAGAATTCAAAGCACTTATGAGCATTCAAGTGCCGAATGCTAACAAGTGGTCAGCATGCATCCAGGAATTGAATCACGGAAATAGCTAAAATAT